GGAGCCATTGTGTTCCTTTCAGACTGTCGTCAAGTTTCACTTCTCCGTCAAGATTATCTGGACCTTATCACGACTTAAGTCTTCTAATTTTCTGATTTTTAACTGTACTAGAAGTTACTGGGCGGCTGAGGTTAACCCATAATTATGCATCTAATTTTGTAATGCCCCTTTAAATGAAGTTAGCCAACAGATATTTAAACAGCAACATCCATTTCAGAGAACACCACGCTTACACTAAACACATTGCGTAACACAACCCTTGTCGAGTTTTTTTTACGACTGACTACAGCTGAGTGAATCAACTGTGATTAGTTAGCATCCTCTCAACCTAAAAGTCAGCGTTCACTAAGAATATCCTGCAAAGTGAAAAACGCACAAGATTTCAACCGGTTTGTCCTCAAGTCAGTTCTGAATATGTCTTTCATGATATCGAGCACTTGAGTAGATTTTGCTCATCATCATTGAAAGAACTAAATTATTTATTTATCTTTCTTAGTTTTGAACTTATCATAATAGGATATTAATTAAGATACAAGAGGCAGGCCCATTTCAAGGCAAGCAGCGACTTTTTTTGTAAGCTTAACCTCTCACTGGCATCATCTTCAGACTTTCTAGCCCCTCTTAACATCCTTTTTCGGCAATTTCTGAATCATTACCTCAGTGACTTTAAATGTCATGCATTCAAGCATTGTCAGCATTGTTTTAATCAGGGGAAGAGTTATGATCTCAAGTGACAAACGCTATTCAAAGCAGGCGACCACATCTGTGACTCCGACTCAGATCAAGAAGCATCCGTCAGTCTTCTGAGCACAGAATGTGAGAGGATTCCTCCAATGAAAGAGCAGGTTTCACGTGTGCTACACAGCAACACGATGACTAAGCACGAGGCCCGCGGCCTCCGGCACTGTGCAGACATGTTCCATTCTGTCACAGCTCTGCAGCACATAGGAACCTTTTCACACGTTGCTCGGAGCTTTAGTGGCTCTACAGCCCACCTTCCCGCGCCGCATTTCACCTCCTCTCACGTCATGACATTCCAACAACGGGCATGTGAAAGACGCCAGCGTGAACACATGGTGGTGCATCAGCAATAATGTTGAATATCAAGGTGCGTTATTTCAGATTTAATTCAAGATTGTTATTTCATTTAATGAGGTTGAAAAATCAGTAAAAACCAAAACAGTTGTTGATTGTCACCTGAAAAACACATACAAAGAAAATGCTCGCTGTTCCGCATGAGTTATTTACATTTAGCGTGGCTGTCCTCAGTCATTAAGCAAGCATTTCCCCCAAACGTCTCTTCTCAAACCAACCCCAAACGCCACTGAGTGTGGTCACAGCGTGTGTGGTCTGATCAGGAAAACCCTTCATTCTTTGAGGATCGAACTCCACCTACTGGACACTTGCACATCCCTGTGCTGCCCCCCATTTCTGACAGGCTCCATTAAATAGTGAAATTTTTAAATAAGGTATTTGTATAGATAATGTCATGAAGATAGTAGTTTAATTGTTTCCTATATTGCACCATCTCCTCAGATTTTTTCAGACGTGTCCACTCAACCAGAAATTTCCGGTTGTTTTCTCTCCTCTTCAGGATTTATTCTGTACATCAGCATGTATGCTGTGCCTCTGCAAAAGAGGGAGAGAAAACAAAAGTTCGGAGAATGAAAAAAGGACAATTCCAACACAGGAGTATAGATTTGAAAAATTTGTTGTTAAAAGACTATGTGAGCCAAAAGGTGGATTTCATCAGTTGTAAACTTAAACATTTTTTAAAACCCTCATGGCAAAAATACAGTCCCTTGAGAATGGAATTCTAGAAATCTTGAACAAAGAACAGACAATATGGTTTTGTCTAATAATCTAAATGATCCAACAAGGAGGATGAAAGCTCCATGAAGTCAGCGGGGGACTCAAAATTATTAATAATATATCACACTTATTTCTAAAAGCTATTGGAAGCTGTTCCAAACAGCTCTGTATCACATGTTTTTTGTTCAATCTTGGTGTGACTTGTGTGTCAAATGCCACTGATGATGACAGATGATTTAATAGATGAGGCTGAACACAAAAAAATTCAGAAGAAATACAATTTGAAGGGATCTCTGTATTAAGCTCGGAATGTTTTTGATGTGAGAACATGTTTCTCCAAACCTCCTACCCAAAATGAAAGGGGCAGCTTTGGATTTTCAGACAGAGTTAAATTGGAACATGTTACTAGGACGTCGCTTAGCTTGAAATAAAAACTGAAAATGGGGAGAATAACTTGTCCAATCATGTCCAAACACAAAACTATTCATCACAGGAACTGATATAAAAAAATATTGCATTTTCAGTTTATCCCATATCAACGAACAAGAATTTGAATAAGATTTAAAATTCGTTGCTAGTTTTCTAATCTTCAACTGACAAAGCAACACTTTTTATGACCCTCTGCACAAAGCACACCAAATGAGAAAAAAAGACGCTAAATACCTGAAATCTCCATATGTCCTTTGCACTTCTTCCCAGGAGGCCTGTGAATTCAAACAAATCCGATCTAATCAATCACTGATCATCAATAACCACTTTTCAGGGAACCTTCTTGAGGTACAACACTAGTTTCTACCAAAGTGTTCACATTCATATTGAGATAATTGAGCAGATCTAAAGAGCAGGGCATCCTTTGTCAGATTTTCCCATTCATAATTAACCGGGCTCATAGCACTTAACATTTTTGGTTGGTCAGCAATAGGCAGTATCTTCTTTCCGTTTCTCCGTCTCAAACATATGGCTTGTAAAACCAACAGTAGCTCATAATGCCCCGTTAAGTTGAACTCTTTCTACAGGTGGTCTGACGGACGGTCCAAAACAGTGACAGAGCTCAGATTGTGAAAAGAAAGCAACTACGAAGGAAGGAAAATTAGTGCCTGCTTTCGCCTGAATGGACATACCTGCTGTACGTGGCTATCGTCCGCATAGTGCCAGCGCCTGCTGCCCCGGTCGTGGACGTAGGCGGTGTAGTGGCCACACATCGTGCTCCCAGAGTGCACTACCACTGCAAACAGAGTGTACCTGCAGGCGGTCTGGAGGGAGACACCAAGGTTTACACAGGAGATTAAAGCATTCAGATTCGAGGCCAGAAACGAGAGTGACCTGTTTGAAGTCAGCTGAAAAAGCCTCCTTCCGAATCGCTGAAAAGTCAAAGGCCTCTGGGAAAGAAACTGTGCAGTCCAGTTTTCGGGGGAAACCTCGCCGGTTCCGAAATCGCTCCAGGTGGACGCACAAGATACGAGGCAGTGAAGAGAGTTTGACACCCTGAAAAAATAAAATAAAAGGTTAAAGAACCGAATTGCCAACAGTGTCAGCAAATATCTTCGAGTAACCTTTAAACTGAGCTTCACCTGTCTGGATGGCCTTTTGGTTTCACACTGTGGACAGAAGCAGCAGTTTATGCCCGACAGCTCCTGGCGCTCAAAGAAGGAGCTCATGCATTCTTCCTGAAACAGTTTAGAGCAGAAACCCTTGAGCAAAGGATGAATGGGACTCTTCAAACATGGACAAATGTCGGATAGGAACACTCATCTGGACTAAAAACCAAAAAAACTAGCTGTACCAGAGAGTTGTGATCTTCCTTGATGTGTAGAGGCAGGCTGAGCAAGAAGCTGCTTCGGGTCTGGACGAAGTCACACTCCGAACACTGCAGCTCCGTCTCCACCGAAATCTTGTACAGATTCTGGATTTCAAGAGCCTGCCAGAGACAGCGAAAGGTACATGTGATGATACTGAAGACTGAGCAAATAAAGTATTTGTGATCAATACAGACCAGAGCTTTGTTATCCATCTGCTGCTGCATCAGGTTCAGAATGGAGAGGAACACCTCGTCAGCATCATGCTGAAAATTAACTGCCGAACGGCATGGTTAGATAGAGGTCGCTGGGAGACGTCTGCTGTGTTTCTGCCGTGTCCCTTACGTCTGATAAAGTTTCGGTCCAGACAGTGGAGGAAGTTGCGATGCGGTGCAGGCTGATGGAGGTCAGCCCGCATGGCCACAAGAACTCTTTTTAGCTCCAAAGGAACGTTACGACCCTCCACGCTCACACCAGCTGCGTCCCACCTTGTGAAATTCACAAACTCTCATTAATCTCTTCTTTTTTTTTTAGCATCTGCAAAACGCAGACTTGTTTTATAAGAGGTTTTATAAGGCCAGACAGCCACATAAACCAACAAGTAGGGTGGGGGGGAAGCGTAGCCTAAACCTTTAACATAAGCATTAGATTGTTTCCTAACACACTGTTATGGTGTTAGTACTTTATACCGGGTTACAAATCTTTAATCTACTCACTTTTCCAGTATGTCGGCTAGTTCCCATGTAGCGGAGAAGGTCTGCAGCAAAGAGTTCACGCAGCAGGACAGATGGTCGTTGGAAAGGCCTCTCATTCCTGAGAAAGACCACCAAAAGTGTTAAAGGGCACAGTCTGTGATGCTTTGGATTATGTAACAACAGCCAAGTTGACATGACAAAACTACCCTGGGGCACAGAAAGCAAAGGGCCACCACAAACATTTTTGAGCGCAACACTGCAAAGAAGATAAGTGTATTGGGAATATTACACCAGATTGTTATCTATTATTGTTATTATTGTGGTTAATTGAGCTCCCATTCCAGCTCTTACATGTAACTTACAGAAATATAATCGTTTAAGACTGGACACTCAACAATTTAGAATTTTAAGAATTTGAATGAAAGAATTAAACTACTATGTTCATGACATTATCTATACCTTATTTAAATTTTTCATTATTTAATGGAACCTGTCAGAATTTTAAGAAAAACAAAACCCCAAAGGGTTTGTTTATTCTGGTTTGGGTAAGTCTTTAACTTTATCTGTTTTTTCTGTGGAACACACAAACACTTACCACGTCGCGGAAAAAACGCAGCGAGAATCCAGCCGAATCGAGACATCAGGGCAGCCCCGGGCTTATTCGTCTTCTTCGAGAGTTAATCGAACCGCCTCAGTTCCCACAGTTTGGTGGGAGACTGTTTGTTTTTACTGAACCGGTTTCCTTTTTAAATGGCCGTGAGCTTCAGTTTCACTTTCGTCTTACGGGGGCTTCCGTCCGCTTTGCTGGAACTGAAACCTAACAGCTGACATGCGCAGAACGGAGGCCGCTCTGTGATGGAACAGGTTAGAGCATCACACAACCACGTAAGGGCCATAAAAACCAAAGTTTTCTATCAGTCACATTCTCAAGTGGTGTTCCTGTGTCAGGGGTGAGATCAAATGTATCTTTTTTTAACTAGGGCTGCTCTCAAGTGTTTCATGGACAAAAGTGAACAGTGCAGCTTCATTCTGACCCAACTAACGCATCCCAGTGGAAAACGCGTGCCTAAATGTGGTGTGTGTCTGTTTTTTTGTTGTTCTTTTGGGGCTAAAACTCTGTTTCTTAAATATGAATGACAGCACAAAAAATAAAATAGACAGAATTTGACTTAGCTACAGAATTCCAATTCCCAACTACCACCCTGAAAAAGATTGCATCAGAAATGGTTTGATGAATTTGAATGCAAAACAGCAATACGACTGACGCAACAATTCCCTTGTCAAACATGGAAAAGAACACAAAAATAGAGCACAAACACTTTTTATAGATGCAATTTCAAGCAAAGACTGAAGTTTGAAGTTAAAACTGCAGTTGCTTAATCGTCTGGAAATGACATAAAAAAGAAAGTTACCAACAGACTCAACAGGAAAACAGGACTTTAAAACCTCTGAGAAAACTTTTGGACACAGACCCAGTGTCTGACAGACCTGACAGCGATGCACACCCGTCACTCTGTGCTTCACTGCATGTGCAAAAAAAAAAAGCTCGTAAAACTGTCCGCAGACCCAGGACGCCGTTCTGTGGAGTGATTAAAAAAACAAACAAACACAGAGCGGGATGTTTTCTCCATTTTTATTCTGATAATGAATCTAAAATGCGGTGGGGTTTGGAACAATTTGGTGGCCACCTGTTGCTCATAAGCTCACTTATTAGAAAGAAAATAAACCATCAACAGAACACGTGGCTGTCTCTCTGAGCTCATAAAAGTTTAGAGATTTCTGGGTCTGGCAAGGCAAGGCAAAGCCAGTACACTGCTATAAATCAAACTATCAGTGTCAAAAGGGAGCTCACCTGTAAACATTCGCACTATTCGTGTGTAACAAGTCAAAGTGAAAAACTTCTTCTCCTGGACATTTTGTGATTTTTAAGGTTCATTTAAACTTTTAGATTTAGGATTTCCTAAATCTCCATGAATCTCAAGTTCCACTGAAATAAAGATTTGACTCCAAAAACTGGGAGAAAGCATCTTTGTTTCCCCTGATTGGTACTTCACTTCCTCTCACATGTAGCCACAAAAACTACTTCAGTTTTAATGCAACAGCGAACACAAGCTGCACTACTAATGTGCATGTTCAGCATTTGTTTGGTCAGTAAATCACATGAATCGAAAGGATTAACAACCCTCAAAGACATGCGATTGAAAAAGAGGTTATTGGCCTAAAAAGAAAGAATGATTACTTTGATGGTTTTCGGGCTCCAGATGTTAAAGCATCGCGTTTAACAAAACAGACGTGACATTAAAATCAAAGCTGTGAACACACTGGGACTTTTCAGTGCTTTATAGTCCTTTGCCCTCAGCAACGGCCTGATAGTATGGTGCAAACATGGATCTCCACATCTGTTTGACCAGCTGAAGAAGTTGGGATATCCACATAAATGAAGACGGGAGAGCTGTGGAAAAACATTCGATTAGAAAGGACTCAATCATTATCCAGTCAGACAGGTTTCTGACTGATTTAATGATACTGGTGCAGCTATAATGCTTCCACAAACCTGGATCCAATCGGATAAAAAGCATATAGAGGAGGACAGCTGCCAGAAAGACTCTCCGCAGGGGGAATAAGCCAGAGCCAGAGATCAAGAGCTTCCTGTATAAAAACCTGAGCATGGCTTCAAGTTTCTGGATTGCAGAACCTATAGAACATGACCAAAAACATCCCCCTGTCACGATTCCTACTGATGTGAGGGTGTATTGTGAGTGCTAGCTTCGGATGAGAGACCTGGGGTGGATCCGGGGTGCGCGCTGAGCTCAGAGCTGGGACCGCCCCCGGGGTCTGGAGGCGGCTCTCGGTTTGCTTCTTCCCTTTCTCCCACCACATCCAGCGCCACCCGCCTCTGCTCCTCTGTGAAGGCGGCGTCGCCGACCTCCCCCGCGATCAGCTCCCGCGCCTCTTCGGAGAGTCCGAGAGGCACCAGCACGTGAAGTAGGTAGAGCTCTGCCACCGTCCGGAACCCAGCCGTGGAGCGGTTTGAGGGGCAGTGCAGCCAAACCCTGGCTGCCTCCCGCATCCCAGCAGCCTCTCCCACCTTCCAGTACAGAAGTATGCTGCCAAATAGGAATTCAAATGAGTTCACAGGGTACTCAGTGTATGTTTTGGCTCCACGCAGTGTGTCATTTTAGTGCATCACACTTCAAGATTTCTGACTTTCCACATGAATGACATTAAATTGATAATAATTCATTACGAGAGAAGTTTAAACACAAAACTATGCACCAAATTGTAAAAGGAGCAAAGCCCTCGTCATCTTCCAAATGTTGTTATGTCTTCATTACAGGGACCACAAACTCCACACATCTTTATGACTTCAGCAGCATGGCTACATAAACAATTTGAGTTTTAAATGGTCTGTTACCTACACAGTAAGATAAAAGTTTGAACATTTTATGCTTCTTGGACGAGTTTAAATTCCATCCAGAGGGGTAGAAAGGTTTGTACTGCCCACTACTGTCCACAGTAGTATATTCAGTCATTTTAAAAGAAGTAAGCTACATGAACAATAACTAAAAAGATCCATAATCTGAGTTGTCCTCACCACATCTGCATGATTTTTGCTGGGATGTTTTCCAGGTGCTCGTAGTGCTGCAGCACCCAGGAGAGGACGCCATGCCACCGATTCAGCTCCGCCAGGGCCTGAATCCCCACGATGCAGAACCCAGCTTTCACCTCTCCGTATCTGCAGGGACAGAGCACAGGAACTCAACATCCAGGCGCCCAGAGGGGGGCCGGGGGCCGGGGGACCTACAGCTGACCGGCAGGAGTCACCTGTTGTCTTCTGGATCCAAGTCCCCGAGGCTCTGCAGACCTCTGTCGCACGCGTCCAGAGCCGCCTGGAAATCTCTGTGGACCATCATCAGCTCCGCAGCCGAGTCCAGCATGTTCAAAGTCTGCGGACAAGTCGGAGAAGAAGGACTGCAGACTAAACCGAACCTGCCACCTGAGACAGCTTGGCCCACCGAGTCGCTACTCATGGCTGGTTTTAGACCCACACAAGAGAACGATATATATATATAAAAAATGGTGATGCTATGTCACCCCCAGCTGGTTAAATTGCACATCTCTGCAAAATTAAGGTGTGAGGCAGTTTAAAACAAGTCCACTCTGCACGACATTTTGTTTACGGTCCAAAATCCCATGTACTTCCTGCTTTTCGCTCAATGGCCAATTACATGATACCTTCTTCAAGTTTGTGCGAAACAGCCAATCCGTTTACACCTTCTATCAAAGTGCGTCATCTTTTTTTTTCCTCTTGTAAACACGTGTACTGAGCTGTTGGCGTGTGTTTTCTGTTGGAACCGTAAACGTTTAACCAGGTAACAAGCTTTACGACCACAAACCACATATTTCTATTATAAACTTTAGAAACAGTCCTATATTTTAAGTTTATCCTGCTGTGGAACTGTGGAGCTGCGCTGTAGTTTTACTGATGTTTGGTGGGACAACATTTAGCGGTTAGCTAGCTGTGATACTCTGGTGGATTTAACAGGGAGACACTTAAAGTTTAACTAATATTTGACATTTTAATATTATTTTTTGTTATAATGGTGATTTGTTTGTGTTGTACGCTCTTCGGATGCTGAACAGAACATGTACTAGATTCTTGGAAAGTCGTTTATTACCGCTGCATCAAATTTAGCTCAAACTGGCACTAAAATGTCACTAGTAGCTAATCACTGATCTTCGATTGACTTTCATTGATCGTATGAAAGAAAGCTTGTAAAAACTGGTATAAGGAAGTTTGAATACTTCTCAAAATAGACATCTAATGTCTTTAAAACTAAATGGATACCCTGAAAGGTGACCAAAATGTTTGTTTTCTTTATTTCTTCAAATACAGAATATTTTCAAAATGGCCAAAAGCCTCCGCAGCAAATGGAAACGGAAGATGCGTGCAGAGAAGAGGAAGAAAAATGCTCCTAAGGAGCTGGCTCGACTCAAACAAGCTCTGAGTCTGGATAAGAAAGGAGAAGCTGACATGACCGAGCTGCAGGAGATCGCCACAGTTGTGAAAGCTGAGAAGATAAAGAAGGAGGTCGATGTTGAAATGGCAGAAGAAGAGGTTGATGGTGAGTGGTTGTTTAAATGAGTTTCTGTGGATTTTCTGTGAATGTTTAAGTTGCATGGGAATAGCTCAGTGTCCGATGGGTTATTCCAACATTCTGTGTTTTTAGATGGAAAGATGGACATGGATAAGATGCGCAGCAAGACAACTCTGTTGGATGAACATGGACAGTATCCCACCTGGATGAGCCAGAGGCAGGCCAAGAAGCTGAAAGGCAAACGGATGACAAAGAAGAGTGGCAAGGGCAAGAAGAAGAAGGGCATAGCCTGGTAGAACCGAGAAACCCCAAGATGGGGCTTTGTTTCAAGGACTTTAGGTGCAGGAACGCAGCACCAAGCGTCAGATCTCTGCTGCTAAACCTCTTTGAGCGGACTGTTAAACATCAACTCCTTTTTGAGTTCAAAGCAAGTGTTATGAACATAAAACTTGTGTCAGATCAGTCTGAATTTATATATGCCAGAAATGGAAACTTTTCTTCACACTGACTCATTTTTCTGTTTTGGAGTGTTATTTCTTTTCTTACCTTTTAAGTTGTGCGTGATTACAGTTTTTCCAATTTTAACATAATACACCTAATCTTGTTGGAAGATACGGTTTGCCTTGAGTCATAAATCTGAATTGCCGAATTTTGCCAAATATGGAGAATGTAAAAAAGTCAGAACAACATTTGTTTAATGGTTTTATTGTCTGTAATTAGCCATCTGCAGTAAAAATTGTAACTTTTTCCATCTTCAGATCCTCATAAACACCTGCGGTAAACGATTGATTTGCGTTTTGTTCCATAAATACTGAGCTGAACAGCTCTGCTGTGGGTAATAGTTGAAGAAACCTGAGTTAGCCTAAATGAAGCGCGTGCAGAGCGAGCTGTTTTTCTCTACATAATCTGAACGTAAGCGGCCGGGAACAGGCCACTGCGTCCGTTGCACTGTCCCCTCCACCAGCCTTCGTCAATCATCTCTATGTCGGTGATGACATCCTCTGGATTAAAGGAGATCTCATCGTCAGCCTCTGTGTGAAAAGACGACAGGCATGAGTTGACACGTTTAAACCGGTTTTGACGTCCTGCTGTACATTCCCTGATGGACACGTCCTCAGGACGGAGCGGCCGTACCTCCCTGGTAGTCATAAATTGCTATCGCCTTCAAGTCACGTGACAGATCCTCATAGTCGTTATCAGCCGCGTCTTTATAGAAGAAATTAATAGTGTGAGACGAGGATAAAAAAGGGAGTTTGGGGAAATAAATTGGTGGCTTCTCATCACCTGTCGGCCCGGAGGGAGGATCGCCAAGATCCTCGTACTCGACCTCGTCCACGTCTGGTGACCTGTCCGGCAGCGGGGGGGCGTCCGGCTCAACGGGGTCCTCTGAGCGTGGAGGCAGAGCCGGGGGCCGTTCGAATTCCGGTTCCTGCTGAGGACAGACTTTGTTTTCGTACCGACATCTCATCGCAAGCCGGCGCGGCTACAGCTGGTGTCGTACCTCAGCCTCTGGTTCTGGCTCTGGCTCTGGCTCCGGTTCCGGCTCCGCTGTTTCCTGTATGGCGGCCATGTGCTCCTCGCTCTCAGGAGGAGGAGGCATGTCGTACACTGGAGACTCTTCTTGAGCTGGAGGCGAATCAAACTCCTCCCGTTTGCTGTTCTCCTCCTTTTAAACCACCCCCCAAAAAAGAACCATCAACCACAGGCGTGCTGGGAACAGCTCACCTTCCACATTTCCTCCATCTTAAGGGGCCACTACCTCCAGTCTGCGCCTGGCCTCCTCCCGCTCCCTGCTCTCCTCCCGCTCCCTGCTCTCCCTGGCTCGTCTCGCCGCTCGCTCTTCTTCGGCTTTCTTCCGGTTGGCTTCTTCTGATGCCTGAGCCATGCTCTCAAAGCGAGCCTTGAGTTTCCCCGCGCCTGAGCTTGCTGCAGGAAAAGGACAATAAAAAAATGGAGCCGCATTGGTTGTAGCGTCTGTTGTGCAGAATATTTAAGACCACTGTTGGTTTAAATGTCCTCCTGATCGTGTTGAGCTTACAGGCTTCCAGCGGTTGTGTCTTTTCATAGGCAGATGTTGGAGAGTCCATGTCTGAGAAGGCTGCAGCGCTCTGGAGGAGAAGGAGTTTTTAGAGGAGCATCCAAACAAAAGGGATGTTCAGTGGACTGACAGTTGGCTACGGCCTCAGTAGCAGACCACAGACTATCCAATAAAATAAAAAAGTAAATAAATAAAAATGGGATGTCTTTTGTAAAAGACTAGGTTTATAACTAGTCATTTACAAAAGACATCCCATTTTTATTTACATTCTTTTGCATTTGGGGTAATTATAATGTGAATGAAGAATCCACACCGACGTGAGGATGAATTTCAATTTCCCCAAAACTTTCAGCTGACAGCAAAATGTGTGTAAAACTATACACTGCCAAACATAAACCTTTTGAGAAGGAGAGGTGTTCACACTGCAGACGAACCGGGGACGCTCACCTTATCCATGCGGTCCGCCTGCACCCCGTAACGCCCGCCGAACCCTGCTGAGTAGTCTGCACAGAGGCGCAGAGGGTCAGAACGCAGAAGCCCTCTGAGGCTGCACCGTCAGGCGGGGCTCCGCTCACCTTTCTGCGACTGATGCTTCTCTGTCTCGCCTTTATAATCGTACCCGAGCGCCGCTCTGTCCACTTTGTCCTTCTCAACGCCAAACTTCCCTCCGAACCCTTTGGAGTAGTCTGAACGGGACAGACGGCACGCGGCGGTGTGAAACCAGCGTCCGGCAGGAAAACGAAGGAAGCTGATCAAAAAAAAAAAAAGCTCACCTTTCTGCGACTGGTGCTTCTCCGTCTCTCCTTTGTAATCGTAACCCAAGGCTGCCTTGTCCACTTTTTCCTTTTCGACACCATACTTCCCTCCAAAGCCCTTGGCATAGTCTGGTTAGAAAAAAAGACCAAGCACGTGTGAAGCATGTTTCACTGTCAAAACTCCCAGTCTCAACTAATCTGTCTCACCTTTCTGCGACTGGTGCTTCTCCGTTTCTCCCTTATAGTCGTAGCCTAAGGCTGCCTTGTCCACCTTTTCTTTTTCAACGCCATACCTTCCTCCAAACCCTTTGGAGTAATCTAAAACAAGGGGGACAGTATTCATGAGACCCTCTGCTAGGTAGAAACCTCTAACCTCTTTATGAACGATGGGCCAACCTTTCTGAGAAGCATGTTGCTGAACCTCTCCTTTGTACTCAAAGCCCATGGCAGACTGTGCAGACAACATAAAGATTGATGTAATCGCACTAATTCAAATTAAGCGTTGACAATTTGAGACCATTCGACCTAACTTGAAACTACATCGACTGCCTCTGAACTCTCACCTTATCCACGCGGTCTTTTAGAACACCAAATTTGCCGCCAAACCCTTTGGCCACATCTGTCTGGGAGGAGTGCTGCTGCACCTGGGCCACGTAGTCGTGACCTACAGCCGCCTGGACAGCAAATACAGGTCAGCCGTTTAAGGAGGAGACGCAAGGTGGGAGATGGAATCCAGGAGCGGAAACAAAAGGAAGCGTCGGATCGCGTTTAACCTTGTCCATCCGGTCCTTCTCCACTCCAAACTTCCCCCCGTAGCCGTAAGACGCTTTGGGAGTCTGCTCCTTCTGCTTCACCTTCTCGTGCTCCACAGCCACTTTGCTTCTGAGCTCTGCAACGCTGCAGCCATCACACGCACAAACACTGAGAAGGCAGCGCCCCTGTGCACACGCCTAACAGCTCTTTTTTTATTTGTTTTTAGCTCATTTTATTCACACAGTTACAAAAAGATGCTACGAACAGATTGTAAACTGAAAAGGGGGGGCTATTTATTTTTTTTGTCATACAATAATGGAATTAATTTAACCAATAAACCCCATAAAAATCCCGAAAGTCAAATGAACAGATGAAAGATTTGTTATCAGAGCAGGATTTTGCGTTTAACATTTTTGTTGATATACGGATACAAAACTTTTGACAGTTATCCAACGGCATAATAAATGTTCAGACTAATACTACCAAAAACAGCTCTGTGAGCAACCTCCAGCTCTGTTTAAAATGTCTGAATGCGTAAGCGTCCACCTCACTGGGTCAGCAGCGCTTTAAGTGTCACTGTGATGCGTTTCCCATATTAGGAGAGGCTTGCTGCTTCAAAACCTGCGTTCTGCTCTCACTTCCTCTTCCTGTTGTTACACAGCACCCACTACAACATTCATCTGTCTCCATTTTCGAAACGTCACAATTTGAAAAAAAAAACACATCTCACCTGATGTGCTCTTTGCGTCCCGAGCCCTCGATGGTTTTGGCCCCCCACCTCTGCTCCTGCTCCGAGACGTCATTCTGAAACAAACCAAAGCCAGGAGGGCCTGAGCACAGCCCACCCGCTCCAGACACGCACAAAGTGGCACAAACCAGGAAGCAAACAGCACCTCAAAGTCAGGATCCGTCTCCCAGTCGTCCCCCCCAGCAGCCACCTTCATGCTCACATCGTGGCCCACCACGGACTTCCACATCTGCGGAGAGGAAACACACAGCTCGGGCACCAAAGCTCGGTCAGGAAGAATACTTTGATTAAATGGTGGCCGTTAGAACACAGATTCAAAGCTATGCACATTTTTAGACAACCACCATTCACTCTGACCAGCCTCCGAAAGGGAAATAATGTCAGCATGAAACTTCATTCACCCCCCCAGCTAAACACAGGGCCTCACTTCAGAAAGCATGACTCTCAACAACTTAACAAATATCATCCTCACATTTTGCACATGGAAAATAATGGAGTTTCTAGCTGTAATAAATTCAAGTAGAGGTTTGCCTGAACACCAGTCTCCTGATGACAACTCTTCTTTTATCACAATTGGCAGACATGGGCTTTAAATTTCAGCAGCAACTATGTCAGATATACTCCAGTTATTGGCCAAAAAATACACACATCACTTTAGTTTATCTCAAAATGGAGAGTCAAGAAACACTCTGAAGGTTAAATGCATTTCTGTAGACTTCCTCTGAGTGCAGATACTTCCTTAATAAAACATGAAGGTTGATAAAAATTAAAACAAACGCTGGCCTTTTAGTAGATAAGCTTAAATTATAATAATAATAATAATAAAAGAACATCACCTTTCGGCGGATGTGTAGAATATCTGTACGTTGGTAGATATCACAGCGGCAGAGTTTCCAAAACGCTTCTCGAAAGTTTTGACAATCTGATGGGCGACGCGTGAACGCGGATTCCGTGGACGTGGACGCGCACCGCGCACGTAAGAACACAGAGTAACAGCACACAAAAGTTCTGCTTTTGCTCTGGCATAAAGATCTACACAAAATACTCACACCATTTTAAATTTGAAACAACAAATCAATTCAATAATTGATGACATGCTGCATTCTGGTACCCCCGGAAATCTTAGTGTCCACGGACAGATATTTTGGTGTGTTCATGACGTAAAAAGCGATCCAAATCATTATATTATCCTTTTGATTTTCACAGGGGAAAAAAGCTACCAGAACCACGTCAAGTTTTATTTAACTTTATAGTATGAAAGCCAAAAAATACTGTGGTGTAGCCGGCTGTAGTGATTATAACACATGAGGGCAGACTTGCACCATAGACGTGCTTTTGTTATAACTATTGATCTAAATCAGTTTGAATTGTCTGTTGTTGTTTTTTTGTTGGTTTGTAGAGCTTTCTGTATTTGTTCCCCACCACATTAGTACACGTGTCTAAAAGTGAAACCATTCAAATGAAAACCCAGAAAACAAAACAGCTTTGCCCAGGAATAATTTCCACTTATAAACATCCTTTATTAAAAGCTTTGAAAACAAATGTGACAGCAGTAACAGTGTCTATATATTTCACCATCTTGTAAGGAAAGTAGTGTCTCAAAACCAGAAAGGAAACATGTGCATTTCAGAATGTTTCAGTGTGTCTCACCGGAGCAGAGACGGAGGACGGTCAACTCGATACTGTCTGTGTAACGATATAACAGCTACACTTACCAATTCAACAACAAAAAAGTGTCAATGTCTTCAGTTCCTTAATAATTAATCAAAAACTTCAATGTAGTTTATTTACTTCAAGCATTAATTCAGACACATGATGATGAGTGTTTTCTGACTATGAAGTAAATCATGTCTGAAAAGTCTGGTCCCTGATCCAAATTGCTGACACTTTAGTTGCATTTCATTATTCTATACAGCCCTTTTAACAGTTATGTACAGCATATGTGTAAATAATCAAAAGATGAGAATGATTTTAAACAGAACCCACACGATAGTTGAAGAAAAAGATATGTCGACATACACATAAGATATGGTTCAAACTTGATCTGTTGGACAGGAAAAAAGGCTACATCAGATTTAATGGGATGGATATCACTACACATAGAAGTCTTACTCCTCCGGAATGAATCCACAACGCTGCCCCTCAAGCCGACTGTATTAGCCAGAAAAGCTGGGCAGACTGTTCATTTGGATCTGCCAGGCAGAAGCTTGGACACTTTCTGGGGTTAGGAGGAAGAGTAAGTCCAGGTCCAGCTGACGAGCTTTGTATGTGCACTTATGTACAAATGTGTGCATAACGCTCCTTTTTCAAACCGAGAAGAAAACATGTAAAAGGGCCAAAGGAGAACGCAGGAATGTGTCAAACCAGAAATTGCACTGTGCTCAGCTTTTGTGCATGAAAGCAGAAGAAGAGACGGAACCACCCCGCCGCCACCTGAACACCAAGCCATCCTCTGAGGAAACACTCAGCATAAAGACAGATGGAAAAACAGCTCTCAATCACTTATGAGGATAAATAAAACATGACCCCCCCCTCCAATTCAATATGCTCCCCAGTTAATAGGTTATATATATATTTCCTTTATTGACTAACAGCTCTGCTCGACTGGGACCTCTCATGGATGCCTAGCAATGACAGGGAAAAGAGACGTGCATGAGCAAAAAAATAAACAAAAGGAAAAGTGTGGGCAGAAGACACCGAGCCAGTTAAGTTGACTAGGTTTAAAAAAAGGTATTAAGTGTGAATCAGTCACTATTTGTGGTGTTTAATCACATGGAAAATATGTGTATGTGGTATCATTTGGATCACGAAGCTATTAACGAAAATGTTAAATATTTGCTTTAAGGTGGTCAAATCCAAACCAGGAGAACGAAATCTGCCCAAACAACTGATGAGAAATATCCACTCCTCCAATTAACTCTTTACTCAAAATAATGAAGATGCCCCTTGATGTACTTCTTAGCCTGGGCTTTGAAACTGTACCATCCACACCCAACATAATTCAATACCAAAGAACGGAAAAAAAAACAGAGCTCCCAATATAAATCTTTATACTTTGGCTGAAGGATTGCGTCCTGTAAAGTGCAATGTTAGTTCGCAGAACATCGCCTCCTTGGAACATGGACATGGAACATCAGAAATCCCTTTTGATGGCTTGGGTTCGGCACGCGCCACATTTTCTATTTCCCCCCACCGGACTCTTTCTTATCCCTTTCTTATCTGCCAGCTCGGTTGCGGGGAGCTGCTTTCAGAGGTATCCGCCCAGGCACAGGAGCAGCAGGACGTGCACGGTGAGCAGGTAAAGGCTGAGCAGCAGAGGGGTGCGCTGCCGGGAGCAGAAGGCCACCCGGAGCATCCTCGCCACGCCGGGGCCGCCTCTCCGGCTCTGCGGGAGCGGACACGGTCAGAGCACGGGTCAGTCGTCAGCATGGTTATGGAGGCCACGGCGGAGGATGGTCAGAACACGGGGAACATTAGCGCTGCCTTACCCGGGTCACGGCTCCCTCGGGCGGCTCGATGAAAACGGCGGTCTCCGAGTGGTCTCCGTCTGGGTCGGAATGCCACGAGGCCTGGCTGCAGCTGATGGGAGACAGGAGAAAGGGATGTCTGAGGTTTTAGTTTGAGATCGGACAGATTTGTCACTAAAAACAAATAAGGAAGACAAAAAAAGGCTGGACTCGTTATTCCGATCCGGGAAAACCTGCAGCAGCAGCACAGTGAGCCGGAACGTCTGCTTAGAGGGAACTCCGGGTCCCTGCTGGGATTTTGGGGAGTCGCGCTCCGTACCGTTTGAGGCGGTCCTGAGTGGCCATCAGCTGCTCCTCCACGGCGATCCTCTGCTGGCTCTCTTCTTCCAGCCTGTTTGGCAGAGGTTAAAAATAAATGTCCGACATGCTGGCCAGTGAGTTAGGGTTGGGCCGGAGGTTTGACCCCAAGGAGCCTACCTTCTGTGCAGCTCTTTGAGCTCGGCGCTGGAGGCCTGGCTGCTGCGCTCCTGCGGGGCTCCGGGGGCGCTGTCCACTTCCTCAGCTCCCTGTGGGATGAGCGTGGCGTTAATGGGGGGGGCGGCTCATCTTAAATCTGAAAACGGCGGCGGTCTGAACGGCGGGTTGAGCAGCCCGACCTCTCTCTGGTAGAGCTCCCGCTGGAGTTTGGGCTTGTGGGCGCGGGCGTCCTCCAGCATGGCGCTCAGCTGCCGCAGCTGCTGGTCTCTCTCCGAGAGCGTGGCCAGGGTCTGCTGCTTCAGCTGCTCGGCCTGAGCCATCCAGTCCATGCGCTCCAGCCTGCGGACAGCGGGTTCCCAAACGTCGGGTCAGAGGGGGGGGGGGGTTCGGACAGCGCGGGCCGAGCCGTTGCGGCGGCGGCGGCGGCGCTTCACCTGAGCGTCTCGATCTCCCGTTTGCCTTTTTCCACCACGTTCTCCAGCTGCGTCAGGACGCCCAGCAGGTTCTCAGTCTTACTCTTCTCCTCGAACAGCTCCTGGCTGACTTTGATCAGCTCTCCGGCTCCGAGCCGAGCCAGCTCGGACCTCTGCTGCTGCAGCTCGGCTGCCTGTGCTTTGAGCTGCTCCAGCTGCCCAGAAAAGAAGAAGAATAGCCATTAATCGATCCATTATCCTAACCGCTTATTCCTTAATGGGGTCGTGGGGAGAACTGGAGCCTATCCCAGTGGTCAATGGGCAAGAGGCGGGGTACACACAAAGACACACAAGGAAGAACAACCACGCACACTCACACTCACTCCTAAAGGCAATTTGGAATGTCTGAGCAACCTAACATGCAGGTTTTTGGACTGAGGGAGGAAGCAGAAGAACCCAGAGAGAACCCACGCAGACACAGGGAGAACATGAAACACAGAAAGGCCCTGGTTCAGGCCATGATGCTAACCACCACAACACCGTGCCGCCCCAGAGGAAGAAAATGTTGATTACAATTCTTTTTTTCTCTCAAAACTCAAGTTTATCGCTACATAACAAGTTTATCAACAGCGGCCATAAAGGGTTTTTTCTTTTCAGCCGTCCACTCACCAGTCTCTCCCTGTCATTCTGCAGGGCTTGTAGTGCGTTCTTCAGGCTCCACACCTCCCCGGCCGAGCCCCCAGGACCGCTGTGCGGCGCCTGGCCGCCGCCGCCCGCCCTGCTGCTCGTCTCCTCCAGCCGCAGGCTCAGCTCCTGGACCCGGAGTACTGCCTGGTCCCTGCTGTCCTGGAGGGAGGCCATGGCCTTGGCCAGCGCCTCCTTCTCCGCCCTCAGCTGCTTGGTGGTCCCCGTCTCCTCCAGCAGCCGCTGCTCCACCACCAGCAGGTCGCGGGCCAGCTCCGCCACCCGCTCCTGGGCGCTCTCTGACTCCGTGCGCATCACGCCCCCCTCCCAGCGCAGCTCGGCCAGCTCTTTGCTGCTGTTCTCCTGCTCCTCCTGCTCCCTGAGCAGCCGCTCCTCCAAAGCCTGCGCTTGTGCCCTCGCCACCTGCAGCTGCTCCCTCAGCTTCTCCACTTCTGCCCCCGGGGCATCTACCGGCCCTCTGTGGACGGCCCCGCTGAGAGTCTCCCTCTCCACTCTCTGCACCGCTGCCTCTGCCCCCGCCTCTCGGGCTTCGTTGAGGCTCTTTAGATGGCTCCCCAACTCCTCCCGCTCCTTTTCTAAAGAGGCGATGCGCTCTCTCTGGGCTGCCAGGAGCTGCTTATGTTGGGAGTCCTTCATGCTGAGGACCTGGTTGAGCTCGTCCCGGTAGCCGTGGAGCTGAGCGGACAGCTTGGCCTTCTCGGCGTACAGGTCGTCTCTCTGGACCAGCAGAGAGCGCAGCTCCTCCTTCAGGCTGTTGTTCTCCCCCGCAGCCTCTTGGATCAAACCGTCCTTAACCATCATTACCTGAAATGACAAGGCGCGTTAGAGCCAAAACTGAAAAACGTGCTTGCCATGTGCGTGCGATGGTGCGGCCGTGCTGCGTGCGCTACCTGCAGATGTTTCTCCTCCAGCTGCTTGTACATGCCCAGGACTCTGTCCCTGTCGTCCTGCAGCGAGCCCATGGCTTTCATGAAGGAATCCAACCTGGCTTTGCTGTTGTTGCTCTCCTCCACTGCTTTCCGCAGTTTCTCTTCCAGGTCCCGCACTTCTCCCCTTCTCTGCTCCAGCTCCTCCTCGGCTGCCTGTGCCCTGCTGTTGGCTTCCTTTCTGGCCTCCTCTGCCGCCTTGGGAATGAATGGCCACAAGTCAGAATTAGTTCAATCTTGTCAGAAATCCTTCTATTTTACCTGGTAAAAGAAAAAAAACCTGTGTACCTGAGCCACAGCCTGCTCCTTCTCATCGAGCATTTCCACTTCCCTCCTCTCCTTCTCGTGCAGCTCCGTCTGCAGGCTCTCCGTCAGGGCTTTGGAGGATCGCAGGTCGGTCTCCAGCTGCTCCACGTTCAGACACAGCCGCCTCTCCGCTGCCTCCCTCTCCCTCAGCTCGGTCTTGGCCTGTTCGAGCTCGGCCTGAAGTCCCCCTACAGCCTCCTCCAGAGCCCGGGCTCTCTGCTGCAGGCTCCCCGCCTCGTTTGTCAGGGCGCGGCCTTCGCTTTGGGCGGCCTGCAGCTCGGCCGTGGCGTGCTCCAGCTTGGTTCTCGCCTCCTCCACGGCTGCTCGGAGCCCCGTCGCTTTCTGTTCCTCTTCTTCTAACCTGAGCTGCCAGTCTTTCTCTGCTTTCTCTAATCTGAAAAGACATTTTGGTTAAAACGACATGTTCAGTTGAAGGTCTACAGGCGGACACGGAGAACGGGTTTTTACCTGGTGACGGACAGTTCTAGTTCCCCCCTCAGTGCAGACTCTTTCTGGAGCTGATCGGCCAGCTCCTTGGCCCGAGTTTCAGCCTCACGCAGCTCAGCCTCCTTGCCTTGCAGAGCGCTGTTAAAGCGAGTCTCCCACTGCCGAGCCTCGTCCAGCACCCTGTCCCGGTCGTCCTGCAGGGAGGACATGCAGCGCGAGAAGGCGGCCAGTCGGGCCAGAGACTCGTCCAGGCGAGCCTGCATCTCCTGGACTCGCTGCTCGGCACCCTCTGCCATCTCTCGTGCCTCCTGAGTAGCCTCCTCCTCCTTGTCCCTCTCGCTGTAGGCCTCCTCCAGCCTCAGCTCCATTTCCTTCAGCTCGGCCCCCAGCCGGAATCGGACGGAGTCCAGGGTTTGCTCTGCCTCCGCCATCAGGGCGGCCTCTCTCTGCTGGACGCTCCGTTCGGTGGCTGCCTTCGCCGCCAGGGCCCGGCTGGCCTGTTCTTGGGCCTCGGCGAGCTGAGATTTCACGGCGTCCAGCTCCGCTTCGGTCCTTCTCCAGTCTTCGAGGCTCTTCGAGGCCTCCAGCTGAGATGCCTCCAGCTTCCTGTGGAGCTCGTCGTGGCTCAGCTGCAGGTCCTTGACCTCCCGGCCCAGTTCGCTGATCCTCTCCTGATACTGGATGCTGTCCCTCTGCAGCTGCCGCACCTCCAGCTGCTTCTCCCTCAGCAGCTCCTCCAGCTGACGCGCCCGGCTCTGGCTGCCCTCTTTCACCCTCTGGGCGGACCTCAGCTGCTGCTCCAGCTCCCGTTGTTTGCCGGACTCCGCCTCGGCCTCGGCTCTCTCGCGCTGGGCTTGCCTGGTGTCCTCCTCCAGCCTGGCGGCTCGCTCCCTCTCCGTCTGGGCCTCCGCCTCCAGCTCGGCCCGCTCCCTCTCCAGCCTCTCCAGCTCCCGCCGCAGGTCGGTGAGGTGCTCCCGGTTGTCGGCCACCTCCTGCTGGTAGCCGGCGATGCTCCCGTTGAGCTGAGCCAGCTGGTTCATCAGGCGCTCCTCCAGGTTATCTTTTTCCCCCTCCAGGCTTTTCAGGAGTTCCTTGACCTGCGTTTCTCTGTTGGAGGCCTCTTCAATTAGCCGCTTCTCTCTCTCTTTGCTCTCTTGAAGGCACTTCTCTAAAGAGGCTGTAAGGCTCTCCTTCTCTCGGCTCTCCTGAAGATCCCGTTCCAGGGAGGCTAATTCGGCTCGGAGTTTGGCCTCCTGCTCCAGCCACAGCTCTCTCTCCGCACTGACGGCAGCCTCCATGTCCCTCGTTTCATTTTCTGAGAAAGTTTGAGCACCCTCGGCCATTTCTGTTTTTTCGGTTTCTTCTGCGTGCTGTAAAACGGTTTCTGACCGCTCATGCCCAGCTTCTTCTGAGGTTACAGCCGGTTCTCCATCTTCAGGATGACTCTCAGCTGGCTCTGTTGTGGTGACGGTGGTGTCCGTTTGCTGGGCTGTGAGGACCTCCTCCGAAACTTCATTTTCCCTTTCCCCCATTCGGGCGAGTTGGTCCCTTAAGCCTTCGATCTGCAGCCCTAAGGAGTCTCTCTCTGCCAGCGTTTCATCCAGCTGGGATTTCAGAGCTCCCACCTCCTCTTGAAGCTGCTCCACTTCGGCTTTGAGGCGTCTGTCCTCCCTTTTCAACAAAGGATTCTCCTGCATCTCCCTGAGCCTTTCGTTTTCCTCCTCCAACTCTAATATTTTCTGCTGCTTCGTCTTGGCAAACTTTCTCATTTTGTCCTTCACAGTGTCCACCTCTTTCAGCGAGTCCTCCGCCTGCCTTTCGGCCTCCTGTCTGGCCGCCTCGTGCGTTCTCACCTTGGCCGCCAGCTCTTGCCTCTCCTGCCTGGCCGCCTCCAGGACCTTTCTCACTCGTTCGGCCTCGTCGCTCACGTTTTCGTACGACTTGAGCAGTGTCTCGTACTCCTCCTTCATCCCCTGGACCTTTTCCTCCCACTCTCGGCACATCCTTGCAGCCTCTTCCTTGGCCAGGTCGGCCTCTCTCCTACAGGCGTCCTTCTCGTTGAGGATGCCTTCCATTGCCAGCTTCAGGCTCTCGCAGGAGGATCCCAGGCTTTGGTTCTCCAGCAAGCTTCGGTCCACCTCGCTGATCAGTCTGGCTCTTTCGGCTCTCAGCTTGTCCAGCTCGTCCTCCGCCGAGCCCATTTTCTGCTGGAGTTCGGCGACGAGCTTCTCGGCGGCGGCGAGCTGCTCCTTCTGGGCTTTGTTGTTTTTGAGCGCGTCTTTGCGGGAGATCAGGGCGGCCTGAAGCTTTCGCTGGAGCTGCTGGAGCTTTGCCTCGCCGCCTTCCTCCTCTTTTTGTGGCAGCTCGGCCTCTAACCTCTGAGTTTTCTCTCGCTCGGCCTTCAGTTCCTCTTCCAAAGCAACGAGCAGCTGGTCCTTCTGCGCCACCGTGCCCTGCATGGAGCGGATCAGTGCGTTCTGTTCACTCAGCTGTTGGCTGAGCTCCGTGATCTCGTGGTTCTTGCTGTCCAGGAACTGCTTGAAGTCCTCCACCTCCGTCTGAAGGGCTGTGATGGAGGATTCCGCAGACGCTTTGGCTGCAGCCTCCATCTCTGCTTTTAGGCTCTCTGCGTGAGACTCGGCTTGCTGACACTTTTCTCTGAGATCATTCATTTCCTCCGAAAGTGCATTGATCTGCTTTTCCTTTTCTCTCAGCGCCTCCAGCTCTTTGCCCACTTCCAGTAATTTGGACTCCTTCAGCGACAGGCTGGCGATCGCTTCTTTCAGCTGGTTTTCTAGCTCTGTGTTTGCCGCGCGAACAGCCTGGATCTCCTCTTTGAGGGCTGCCAGAGACTCTTCCATTTGTTCCGGCTGGTCGTCTTTAGGCTCTGCGGGATGCTGGTGTGGGTCGCTGGCTTCTGCTCGAGATGAGCCGCCCTCAGACGCGGCAAAGTCAACCCAGTCCTCCTGGACCCAGTCATTTGGAGGCTTGTCCACGGCTCTGCTGGGCTCCTCTGGAGGCACGTCTTCTTTCTGAGCGGGGGCTTTTTCCTCTAGTTGTTTAAGTTTCGTAAGAAGAGCCTCTTGCTGGCTGCTCTGCTCCTCAAAACGTCCCATCAAATCGCTGTACTCTTCTTTCTGCTGCCTCAGTTGTTCACGGTGGTGTCGGTCTTTCTCTTTGGCTTTACGGATCGTTTCTTTGCGAGATTCTTGGGCCTCTTGAATCTTCTTCTGAAGTGTTTCGCACTCCGTTTCAAGAGATTCCACTTGAGACTGTAGGGCGGATTGTACAGAAGCGATGTCAGCCGGCTGAGGGTTCTCTGCTTCCTCACTTAGCTTTTGATTCTGAGCCAGCGTCTCGGCCAGAACTTGATCCTGCTGGATCATTTTCTGCTCAAGACTTTCAAATGCCTCTTCTTTCAGTCTTAAAGCTTCTTTGACCTCCATGAGCTTGGCCTCCATCTCCTGGATGTCATGTTCGTTCGATTTTTCCTCCTGTTGTGGAATTCCTTCCACTCCCGTTTCTTCACTCCCTTTCCTTTCTCTTGTTTCCCTCTCAAAAGCAGCAACTTTCTTCATCAGCTCTTTGCGCTGAACAAGAGCTGCCTGCAACTTCTTCTTAGTGTTTATCAGGAGAGTTTCCAACTCTCCTTTTTCTTTACGCAAACTGCTGAGTTCATCTTCTTCTCGAGCGGTTGCATCCTCACAAGCTTTCGCCTTCTCGTCGCTGACTTTTTCAAGTTCAACTAACCGCTCCTTCAATTTACTCACTTCACTGTCTGCCTGGCTCTTCTCTTCTTCTGCCTGAAGGAGTTTTGCGGACATGCTGTCGTTGAGCTCTGCCACCTCCCTCTTTGTCTGGCTGAGGCAAAGTTGCAGCTCGCTGATCTCAGAGTCCTTCTGTGACAAGGACTCGTTGAGATCTGAGGCCTGGGACTGTTCCAGCAGGCTGTTTTCCAGATCGTGAAGCCTCCTCTCCAGCTCGGATGCGAGGAGCTCCCTGTCCTCCAGCTGAGCAGTCAGCATTCTGGCCTGGCCCTCCCGCTCAGACAGATCTTGGCGGGCTTTTTCCAGGTGTGTCTGCAAGGCTTCGATCTCCTTCTCTTTGGCATTATTTGCACTGCTTAAAATATTGATCTGGTCCTCTAAAAGCTGCAGTTCAACGCTGTGCTTGTCCGTCTCAGAGCTGTTTTGCTGAGAGTTGCTGTCTAACTCATCTCTGGCCGACTGGAGCTCCTTTGCAGAAGTACTGGCTTGAGCCTCAGCCTCCTCTTTGGCAGCAGTGAGAGACAGAGTTTCCTCTTCAAGACTCCTAATTCTCTCCTGCGACTCGGCAGCTTCTTCTTTCAGTCTCTGGAGCTCAGCTAGAAGCTCGCTGTACTTCTTCTGCAGCTCCTCGGCTAGAGCCTGTGCAAAGAGACCCGCGGACATGTCAGCCTCTGTGGAGGAGGAGCTCTGCTCAGTTGGCTGACCCTGAGTGGTCTCTCCGATAACGCCCGAGGGGGACTCAGCTTTGGAAGCCTCCTGCTCCATGCTGGTTGCCACCCACGATTGTCCAAAGTCCTGCTGAACAGAGGGCCACTCCTGACCTGCGTCGTGATTCACAGCCTCCAGGAGGGTCCAGCTGCTGTGGGCCACCTCTGAATCACTGCTGGCGACCATCTCGTCTGAGGACGTCCCTTTAGATTCTTCCGGGGACTCGGACTGGTGGCCGATCAGCTCTGGGCTACTCTCATTACTAGCAGAAATAGAGAGTAGCCCAGAGGCGTCCTCGGCCACTAAGGTAGTGTCTTCCTCCTGTGCATCTTCTGTGAAGTCGGGGAGGATGGCAGAACTGTCAGGAAGAGCAGCTCCGGCACCCTGGTCCTCATCCTCTGGCGTTTGTTCTGAGTTTTCATCTGATCCAGCCTCTCTGGGGCTCTGCTCCGTAGCCAGTGTGAGGGACTCTCGTAAGGCAGCCAGCTCATTGTCTTTTTCTAACAGCTGCTCCTCTAAGGCCTGTATGTGTGCTGCAAAGGTCAACAGGGATAAAGCTTAGACTCAAAAATCACAATTGTATTTCAACAAGAATGAAATTGTCATTTTGTATATGCCCAAATAACTGTACAACTGTAATGTTCTTATGATTATCTTTACAATAAGAAGACTTGATTTAGCCCAGAAACCTTGTTTGAAAACAGATTTTTTTTATTATGTTACAGAGTGTAGTCCAAGATTGTTAACTACCGCTATGAATTTAATTTCTTAATGCTTATTAAACATCTTATTAGACATCTTTGACTCTTGAGTCATACCTTTCATAGTGTCCGATGAATCCCGTGAAGGCTCAGGCGTGTCATTTGTGTCTGACATCTAACAGGAGAAATAGAAAACACAGAAAAAAATGGTGACTAAAAACATAATATTATGCTTTCACATTAAAAACTGAAATATTTCTGGGTATGAATGATAATGTGTTGGGATTAAAAAAATACATTTAAATATATTCAAACTAAATCAGACGATTTAAAGGACAAAGAATGACTCAACAGCAAATTAAATTGTGCTATAGGGAATGTCATTATATGGTTAGGGTGAAAAGATAAAGAGTGATTTTAAAATCGCACTTGATTGCTCTTTTAATATTCCATAAGGGCAATGCGCCGTGTGTCTGCAGAGTGAGGTGAAGGTCAGCTCAGAGCTGAGGGGATTAGACGCTCCTCCTCACAATGACTTGAACGCTGTCTGGCTGTTGTCATGCAGCAGCTACGTCCTGTCTGCCCTGTCTGACTCAGGTGAAGATCAACTGTCCAGACTGGAGTTGTGACCACTTTTAGAAGGTGAAACTAGTCTGTCAGCTCTGCCCCTCAAAATAAAGGGTAGCTCTGCAAACGGTTTCTTAATGGGAGATAATTAAACCACGGGCAAATAAAAGCTAATCGGGTCATTGACTTTGAGACAAAACTAAAACTAAAAGATAACTGCTTATGCAGTTCTTCCTTTGTTATTGTTAATTAACTCTGACAAATTAATTTGCATACCGAGACCTGGTCACAGTTCAGACTAATTAGAGGCTGATCCTTATTAGGGGAGACTGTTGTTTGGATGTCATAACATTGGAAAACAGCAGCGAAATGAAACTGCATAAAAGTAAGACACCCAGCTAAACGTGATAATGTATGCAGCCGGTTACAAAGTGTCGTACAAATGTAGCCTCAGCACTAACCGCTGCAAGCTCTTGCTCCAACTGCTGCATCTTGACTGTGGCCTCTTCCTGTTCCGCTATTGTCTTGTCAAGTTGTTCTGAAAATAAGATGTTAACAATAATCAGTGATGCAATCCAACATACAAATCTGACCCTTCCCTCACAGAACCAGATGGAGGTTTAAACCTTGAAGAGTCTCCGCGGTTTGGGTGAGCTGGGCACATTGTGTGCTTCTTTCGCTGCATTCGTCCTTCAGCCTCAGCAGTTGCGTCTCAACACCCCGCACGGCGTCCAGGAGCAGGAACAGGTCAGCGGGGATTTCCTCCGGGACAGGGTCCGAAGCGTGGGAGCGCACAAGCCCCCAGATTTCAGCTAGAATCTCGTCTTTCTCCTGCATGCCTCCGCGCTGTTCCCTGAGAATTGCCAGTTCTTTCTCCAATTCATCAGACCCTGACTTTCCTCTTTCTAAAACTTCCTCCATGGCCTGGACAGCTCTGGACTCTGCTTCTCTTACTGATGCCAGTTCGCTTTCAAGCCGGGCGATTTCCGCCGCGTCTCTCTCCGATGCGTCACTGCGTGCTCGGATGGCGGCGAGCTCTGCGTCCTTCACCAGGGCCAGCTCCGCTTCCAGCCTGGCAACCTCTATCTTCTCCTTCTCCAGAGCCTCCTTGCAAACAACATCTGCCTCCCTCAGGGAGAACAGCTCGGTCTCTAGCTTTGCGGCCTCGGCTCTCTCCCTTTCCAGGGCTTCCAGGCTGGCTCTGAGGGTGGCGAGCTCTGCCTGGGCCCTGCTTTCCTGCTCTGCCCACCGCTGCCCGTCTTCCTCTCTCTGCTGGACGGCCTCGGTCAGCTCCTGCTCCATCTGCCTGAACTGAGCCGTCAAGATCTGAGGATTAAGTGAATGGGACAAGCATGGTGAGTGTGGTGTGTGCATTGTGTATCCCAGCCAAAACTAGACAGGAACTACAGGCTAGAAGAAGGGTGTGTCTGGTTTGAAGAGTTTTCTTTTCAGTAGTCGCTCCACAATGAATGTGAGCAGATCTCAAACAAACAATTGCGGTAGTTGTACTGGACTATGCTTGTCCGACAGGATTTGTACCTGCTTTTGCTGATCGGCGCTGCTCACTTCTTGTTGCAGCATTTCCAGCTCTTGTGAGCGAGAGCTTAAAGTCGCTTCAAGCTCTTCACACCGCTGCTGAGCTGCTTCTAGGGCCTGAGGAAGATTAAAAACCGAAGAAAAGAGTCAAGCTCCAGTTATATAAGATTAGGCGGCTTTCACAGTCTTAAACATGGTGCCGCAGTCAACCCTGGAACAGCTTTCGGGCACCTATCAAATTTGAATGGTATTCTCTTTGAAAATCCTATCGTGTGGCTTCAGTTTGGTCAGTAAAAACAAGCAAAGGCGGATGAGCCTTTGTGAGAAAAGAGCCACAGGTTTTCAGGGGAAAATTGTGCATGTTTCTCCGCTATACATTCATCTGACATAAACAATGTATGAACAACTGGTGTCATTTTTCCAAAAAAGAAAAAGAAACACGGTGATCCTCTGAGCAATTAGCAGTAAAAACAGCTTTGATGTCATAAAAATGTAAAGAGGACAAAGAAGTGGCTGAAAATAAATCTGAGATAATTACGTTTAGAAGGAAGAAAAATCTACTTGTTTAAAAATAAATAAATAAATAAATAGATAAATCAAGTGTCAAGATTTTGTCCTTTGGGTTGTAGAGACGAAATTAGTTCTGACAACAAGGACGACTGCTATCTTTCAAAACCAACAGATTATTCATAGCAAAAAATTATCAGGAGACAATACGGAAAGGAGGCTGAATGAGTCAGCTATGAATGGGGACATGAATGCTGAGTGGATTAATAATTCAGAAGAATCCTTGGACCTGCAGCAGCTCGCTGTCGTTCTGGGACTGTGCCGTGGCCTTCAGCAGCTCCTCTTCGTGCTTCTGAATCTGCTCCTGAAAGCGCACATCCTTCTCACACACCACAGCCTGCAGCACCCGCAGCTGAAAACAAACCCGATACCCTCAGAGAGAGCCCTCCAGACAAAAGGCCTGGGACTTTGAGCCGTTACAGGCTTGACATCGTCACCTGCTCAGCGTTGGCCGACTCCTTGTCTTGAAGCAGCTGCTCGGCGGCCTGGAGTCGCTCCTGAAGCTCTCTGCCATTGGCCTCTTCCTCGCTCAGTTTCTTCTTCAGGTCCTGAAGCTCCTCCTCGACCGCAGCTCCCGTGAAAGAACTCTCTGGACTCTGCTGGAAAAATATGAAAAGTTCAAGTGGGATAAAAGGGAAAAGCGCGAGGGTTAAGTACAAAAAGAGCCGTTGTGGAACATTCACACTCACCGTTTGTCCTCCTTGTCCTTTTAATTCTGTAATCTGTTTGTTGAGTGAGGCCATCTTGGCTTTGGCCTGAAGTTTGAGCTTGGTGAAGCGGGCGTCTGCTTCTTCTCTTTCATTCTGAGGTCACAAAGTAAAACACACGGTAGACGCAGGGAGGCTGAAGGCATGCTGAAAACTCCAGGAAAGCAGACGGGACAGCGGGACCAAACAAACACGCAGGGTTCCTCACCTTAAACTGCGTGTCTTTGCTGGTCAGCTCGGTGTCTTTCAGCGAAAGTTGGGCATCCTTGTCTCGAATGAGCTCCTTCAGCTGGACCACCAGTTGTTCCAGGTGGGCCAGCCTCTCCATGGCTTCCTCTGGCACTTCAGACTCCATTGGAGGTTGACTTTCAACAGAAGGAATCTGAGGCACTAACACTCCCTGAGCGAAAACAAGCAAAGGACCCCCTCAAGCTGTCAAAATGATGCTTTGCTCTGGACATGTACTTGATAGATTTTATCTCCCATATTTACGCATAGAATAATGGAGAATAAATTGTTCTCCTGAATTTGAAAGGGAAATAAAACTCAACATAGAAGCCTATTTTGATGAGATATTTGTATTCTCACCTGCTGGTCACCATCCTGGCCCTCCTCTCCAGAGAGCTCCTGGAGGACTGTGGCCAGACGGCTGAACATAGAGGTGGCACTGTGCGATTAAAGTAAGCATGTGGGATATTAAAAATCATGACAGACGTCATAGATGTCCAACCGGACCGATAATTATCATCCTTTACTGAACCATACCTGCTGACTAAAAAGGTATTTTAAAATCTGTTATCCTCTTGTTTTTCCTTACATGTTAAGGCATATATTTCGAAGTCAGTTTCTATACAGTGAACAGAATAACAGTCCAATACACAATACGTAACACTTCACAAATGTTATTTAAAGTGTTTTTAAAACCCTGTCAAGCTCATTCATATCTACATGCCCTCTGAATACAAACAAAGGCTTTGTTTTTCTGTGCACACATTCAAACAGGGTGGATGACTCTTGCTGCCTGGAGATTAAAGTTCAGTCCTGGCCTTTTAAAGAAGAGTCGATGGAGCAATATCAACAAAAGACACAGTTTGCCCTGCTATAGTGTAATGATGTAGGCTGAGAAATTAAATGTCATGCGTGGGTGGTACTTTTTACTTTTTTCTATTTCTTCTACACAGTCTAATTCGATCAAAATAAATAGCTTTTGTCACTTATCCAACAACAACACAAACAACATTTCAGCTTCCTGAGCATGAAACTTTGCTTTTGTTCCTGTTGTCTGACGTCATAATGTAAGAATAAGGTATGAGGAAAAGGTCTTAAGATGGGAGGACCTGTTTAATATTATCTCCTTTTGATCTGTAGCTTAACGGTTTCTTCAGATGAGAAATATATATATATATATAAACTGTTTTAAAATTAAAAATAAACGTCATTAATATATTTGCCCATGAAAACTAAGGCAACATATACAGGCAGACGATCCCTCTCTGGGATTTCCGGGTGGAACCGGATGGAGCCGACTCTTTCCGAAACGGCAGGACGCTCCACTGCGGCTGCGTCAATCTTTCATTGAACATGCAAAGATTATAGCTTGCTAACGCGAGAATGGACGTCAACCGCTTCGAGCTGCTGGCTACTGCCGTCTTCAGTGAGCAGTGAGCTCATGGTAGAGACGGTTTCCCGAACAGGATGTCCATGAAAAAAAACCCCGCCGCGTAGCGTCACTGTGGTTTCCACCAAACAGTGAGGTAGCTGTGGCTTCCCAACTAGCTAGCGCTGCTAACAGGTAAATAAGTCCAGCATCTTTAAAACCCGCTTCGCTCAACCTTCCTCCTCGTTGCATGACAGTCGTGTGATGCACCCCCTTTCCGGCGGTGTATTTATAAACTAAAGACAACTTCTGACTCACCTGTGTGAGTGCTTCCCAAGCAAATGCGTCTGTGTTTTCTTTCCTTTATTTCCTAGGATGAATTTCAGAGCATAGCCACATCACCAAACACTCCCGGAAACAAAACTCGCTCTGCTCTGATTGGACGGCAGGGACTGCAAGAGACTGTCTGCAAATGTGAAGCACTCGACTCCTTTTTAAGGGAGTGTCTGCATAAACATATACAATACGGTAAAATCCGCCCCGAACTCTCCCGTACACACAGTTTGGCTCTTATATCTGGAACCAGATTTAACCATGGCAGGTCATGACCAAGGAGTCAACCTGATCATCAACCGGGGGAGACAGCTCGGGAGAAGTCTGCTCCTCCTGGCCCACTACACCACGGTGTTCGTGATGTTTGTGGGCCGCTTTGTGCAGTGGATGGTGGATGCAGTGAAGTGGACCGGCGTGTTTTCACGCTACATGGCATCAGCTTTTGACTTCATCTACAGACACCTGAACAGGGTGAACAGGAGGAGCGTGGCAGCCGGCACCAGGGAGATCTGCCCAAACTCTCACACGGAGCCACGATGAATCTGTGTCTTTGCTTACTTTTTTGTAACCGTGCCAAATGGACAGGACGCCACCCAAAAAGAAAAAGCTACAAACTGAATCTGAAGGGGAAACTTCATATGAATGATGAAAGAAAATGAGGCCTTACTGAAGTCAACACATTTTCATTTGAACCTTTTTAAGCTTTTAAAACAGAGAAATCCTGCGTTTGTATGTGTGGTCAACTCTGGGGAAAACGTGTTGCTGCCAATCATGTCAGTACTGCTAATGTGACTGTTAACAGATGTGTCACAGGGTAATGCAAACTACTCTATTACATTGTTGCACTACAACATAGGAAGGTTATCACTAAAAGCTATAAAAGGCCCTTCCAACTTCTTTTTGGCCAAAAGGCCGACGTTATCACCTCTTACCTGTAACATTGTTCCTCCTTGTGGATTTCCTTTTTGAAACAGAAACAATTATCAACATTTCTGCTGAATGTATTCCAAAGGCAACCTAATATCTTAGTTGAAGCATCCTAATACATTAACTTTTGATTTTAAAGTATTTTAGAAGTTTTGTTACTGTTTTTACTTGTAACTGTATGTGTAATTGAATTGCCCGTCAGTTTCAGAACGCATTTTTACTGTTAGCAAACGGTAAAAACTTTTTACTCATCAACTCAAAGCTGTTGAATATGCTTTTACTGTCACTCTGGAATTGTTGCGATAAAGTCATGTGATGACATCCTAAAGCTCTTCAAAAGGAGTGTTGTGTTATTTTCTGCTCCCGACACTGTCAAATCTCAGTAATCTTTCATCCTTCTGAGCATTTGGGCTTTCTTTGTAAACATTTTTTTAAATTTTTGTAACCTAAACAACAGAAGCCAAAAAATATAGAACTACCTTTTAGGATTGTTTTTCTTTTTAACTGAACGACAGTAACTTTAAAGCAAGACAGATCATTTCAGATTTTCATATTTAGAATGGCACAAGCAGTATTTGACAAAGCTAGAAAAAATGCTTTACATTATGGGGACAGTAAGAAACCTTCTCCAGCTTCCACCGCACCATTTCAAAGCAGAGGCAGAATGCTTCTGCTGAAAGGTGATGCTGTGTGTGCTGTGCGGGAGGCGCAGCCTGCAGAAAAATAGCTTATATTGCAGTGTGCTTCGTTAAAGCTGGACCCCCCTCACATGTCAGGCTCCGCATGCAGAACATAACGGCCTGATCCGTGCACGTGACGGCCCAAAGCTGCGGCCTGCGTGTCAGCACATCTTTGGGTAAACAGGGAACATGGACCAGTCGATCTGCCCTTTAAACGGAGAGATTAATCTGATCGTCTGCATGTCTGCCTGGATTACAGCCAGCGATTAAACCCAAGGAGACCATTGGAGGGTGGGGGGGGGGAGTACAGTAAACTACATAAGGCCCCCCCACCAGCAGACACTCGCACCCCAAAGGTCCCAGCGTTGTGTGACTGTGAACAGGGAGAACCTCCGCTTCACAGTAGACCACATTGGGCAGAGAGGGGGAAAAACAAAAATGGGAAACTCTACGGGATGCACTGTGGATGACTTACAGGCGGTGGAGATGCACCTCTGGTACAAGAAGTTCATGACGGAGTGCCCCTCGGGCCAGCTCACCCTGCACGAGTTCAAGCAGTTCTTCGGGCTGAGGGGTCTGGACCCGGAGGCCAATGCCTACATAGAGCAGATGTTCCGGACCTTTGACATGAACAAGGTAAGATCGGATCAAAGGACTCCCCGTTTCTTTTTGCCCGAATTATTGTTTTTGGAACAAGACAGCAGACACGACAGATACAAGATGCTTTAGGTTTGAGAGTAAAGGTACATTCAAGCCTTTCCCATACTTCTGTTTTTTTTTTTAAAGCTCTTTTGGAAATTTAAATTTGAATGAATTCACAATTAAAAATAATGTTACAAAGCCATCAAACTCTTGGACAAAGTCAGTATTTTACTTACTGATTTTCCTTTCATATTTTGAAGCAGAATCAATCTAATCTATGTGCCTTCACTTTTTTCATTACATGAAACCAACTCCACTTTTATTTAGACCAACATGAGAGAACCTGTATGTTAAGTATCAATGAAGGTCAAAGCTTTTAGGTCTTAAATGTGTGATGTTGCTATCTCATTTCGAAACTGATAAATGAAGTTTTTCAGGAAAGTTTCAGACCCTCTAGGTATGAAAATGATCACACTTTCCGATTTATTTTTCTTTAAAAAATGCAACTGCAGTTAATAGGGTGCCAAATAAGAAACAATATTAGAAAAAGAACAGCATTACTGAAGGGTAAAACAAATTTTCTCCATCAGCGAATCCGTCACAATGCGAGGCGTCAATTAATTGTCTAAAAGCTGAAGATCCACAAAATTTCTTGGGCTGATGGTTCAGTGATCCATCGAACTTTGGGGCCTTTTGGTTAAGAGGAAAAAAAAGACAAAAATTAAAGCCTACAACTGTCAACTGCTTTCAGCCATTGCCTTGTTTAAGGCTGTACAGCAGAAACGGAACACCTGTTACATTCTAAGTCTAAACTCCAACCCCATAGCTGCCAGTTTTCACCCCACTGTGACCTCCATCTTGGGAGAGTTTCTGAGCCATCCGTGGGGCGATGTCAGGATGTTGTTTTCCTAAGCTATATTTAGTCAACAAAAGGCATATGTAATTGGTGAGCTTGATTTGAACGGTGAGATTATCTGCGAGACGATACTTTGATGCCAAGATTGTCCCTGGAGATAACTCCCCCCAGCCTGGTACCGAATCCCCCCGCCACCTCGAACTCTGAATGAAAAAACAAAAACAAAAATCACCACGTATGAATGAGGCCGTCGGCAGGCCACCGGGTTGTAACGGTGCTCTGCTGCTGCTCTCGGCAGGACGGCTACATCGATTTCATGGAGTACGTGGCCGCGCTGAGTCTGGTGATGCGGGGCAAGATGGAGCACAAGCTGCGCTGGTACTTCAAACTTTACGACGTGGACGGAAACGGCTGCATCGACCGCCACGAGCTCCTCAACATCATCAAGGTAGGAGCCGCGGTGCCCCCCCCCCCACCCCACCCCACCCCCCCTCCATCGGTCCCCACTCCGCAGTGCAGCGGCTGATTATCCTCTCCTCCTCCTCCTCCAGGCCATCCGCGCCATCAACGGGAATGAAAACCAGGAATCCAGCGCAGAGGAATTCACCAACCGGGTGTTTGACAGGATTGACGTGAACGGCGACGGTGAGTTTGTGCTGGGACAGTTTACAGAGTCTTCATTTAATTTCCTCACACATCCACCAAGTGGTTGAAAAGTAGTGGATTTAAAAGTTCAAATGACATATTGTGTACTTGTTTTTTGTTTTTTTTGTAGATTTAGTTGTACTAAATTCTAAGTCCACTACTGTTTTAGTGTACATTTAAAATATGTGCAAATTCACATAATTATGTATTATCAAATCTCATGTTTTCGAGCTGTTGAAAAAATCTTTGATGCAAACTAAGTTCAATTGATATTTTTAAATGTACATATATAAATAAATGTGACTAAAGAAAATTTCATATGTTAAAATCCCCCCAGTGCAGGGATGAATGAAAGTACCATGAAAGTATCTGATGCCATTTGGAGCTGATTGCCTGAACACTGTATCTGTCTAACAGGCGAGCTGTCTCTGGATGAGTTTGTTGCCGGCGCTCGCAGCGATGAAGACTTCATGGAGGTGATGATGAAAAGTTTGGACCTGCGCCACATCGTGGCCATGATCCACAACAGGAGGCACAGCGTGTAGGACGCCTCCATCCCGACTACCTCAGCCTCCTTTGTGTTTAAACATCAGTGCTTCCTGTACGCTGCCACTGATTAAAACCTTCCTTTTTATGTAAAGTGGGATTTCTTTTGAAATTAAATGCGTCGTAATGTGACGCCAACGCACTGCGGAAGGGCTTACGCATATGCACTTTAAATAGGACGACTCGGTCGACCCTTCCAGACTGGTCATTGTCCTGTTAAATGGCGGTGAGCTCTCTCAAGGCCACCCTGGCATGAAGGATGATCCCTCAGACAGTCCATTAAGACGCCCTGAGGGATGGGAGGGGCGGGGGGGGAGAGATAGTGGAGCCGAGTGGCAATTACATGCACTCAACTGCACTTTCCAGACTTTTTTATTTTCTGGGTCGGAGTCTCTCAGCATCAAATTACTCAAATCTCTGCTTACCTGTTCTTGCCTGTGGGGGATTACAGGAAGAATTTATGACTCTACGGCGTGTTTAACAGCCATGCTAATTCGATTAAATCTGTGGCTGTAAAACAAGAACAGGTTAAAGCCTGTGGGGAGATTCAGTGGAGTGTACAGTTTACCTTTTTTTTGTTTTTATTTAAATATATTCGCTTTTTTTGGGGTGATCGTTTGAATGTGTTTCAGAAGCAGTCTTCCGAAAGAACAAAACGATAAAAATCAGACTTGGTTTTGGAGAATTCCTGTGTGCTTGTGTTTCTTTGGCTGAATGATCTGCTTCTTATGCAGCAGTAATACAAATTTAGACCTTTATATTTGTTGGTGATGCTCATCTGGTGCCTTCTGGTGAAAGACTGCGCGGCATGTCTGATATTAGCTGACGCTTCTTTGTGCAGTGAAACTAATAAAGAATCTTTCAGAACAGCAGAGTGTGAACATTTCATCCAAATCTACTGGGTCCAACACTATGTGTGTAACGGAGGAAGACAGTTTAGTTCAGTACTTTCCAACATGAGAGTAAGAGGATTTTCTAGATATGACAGGAGAAAAACAAATTTGGACAGTATTTCTTCCAAACTTTACCATTATTTTCATGTTCACATGGTATATTTTTTAAAGTTGTGTAAAAATAAAGGAGAAAAAACATCCCCACAATCAAAACAAATTGCAGCTTCACAAAAGCCTTTTTTTGTAATAATTTTTTTTCTGATGCAACAAAACATTTTTAAGTGCCAAGTTACTTTTGAGATATTTTATCAGAGAAAGACTAAAACTGCAACCTTAAAAAAAAAAAAAAAAAAAAAAAGAAAAAAAGATAATTTGCCAACATGGCATTTAATTTGCACAAATGCTAATATCCTACATGGTCTTGTGGCACAGATTCTATAGGATTAACAATAAACTCGTTTATCAGCCACAAGAGGGCAGCGGACATAATCAGGTTAATGTCCCTCCACTTAACAGCGGTCCACGCTGCTTATTCTGCCAAATGCTTGTCCTTACGTGCGCTCTTGCAGAAAGAAATCTCTCTTCATCTTCCCTCTCGCCGTGTCATGTCTCCTTCACGCCCAGCAGGCTCACAGGAAGTCATACAGATACCTCACAATATCGAAGTTCACCGTCCTGGAAAACAAATGGAACCGAGCACGCACTCTTTGAGATGCAGACGAAAGTCGGTTCCCTTCAAGAACTCACTCACTCTCGGTTGTGCGGGGCGACGAATGCGCCGGCAAACACGCACTCACTTGGATATGGCCCGTATGAAATCCAGAGAAACGGCGCACTTGTATTTTGGGCCGTCGAGCTGGTCGTCATGACTGACCTGAGCCAGCAGCTGTAAGGTCACCAGAGAGGAGATCTAAATAATGACAGACACAAGCGCAATGAGTCCCCGCTGCACAAAGCTTTACAACCAGTGGCACTGATGTGGATCATGTCTAATTAGATAAGAGCATTTCATGCTTGGATTGCTAAATCGATCTGCACTTGTCTCGCCAAATGTCACAACATCAGAGAAAATAAGCAGGGAGAAGGAAAAAAAAAAGACACGGAACCTAAAATCCACAATTTATGACCTCCAGAGGTGAAGGTTTAGCCAGTGCCAACGGCTCCTTTGCCCCACAACATTTACCCCAAAAGCCCAGTTTAACAAAATGGGTTAACCCACTTTGAATATAAAATAAGGAAAAAAGGAGAATAAAAAACAGATCCATTCATACATCAGATTTTCATAATGTTTTTTTTTTTGCCATCAGAGAGCCGTTTCACATCTATCTAAAAAGGATGGAAATATCTCCAGGCTGACCTACATTTCAATGATGAATGGACTCCATTTATATGCACTTTTCTAGTCTTGCTACCTATTCCAAACACCTCTCCAGAAGCTACATCCATCCTACCACACATGCATAGAGCACCTCTACACGATTCAGACAAGCCTATCTGCGAGCCCTCTGAAAGCCTCGTGAATGGCAAACTGCTTAATGTTTTTCGTCTGTGGCCCACTGGACCTGTGAGAAGATGCTGGCGGTTGGGGCGACTCGGCTGTCCACCACGCTGTAGAATATGGCCAGCATGCGGTCCAGAGAAAAGGGCTTCGGTCCCAGGAGGTGGTTGCTCGTCTAGGCGAGGAGCAGACAGTGTGAAGGCTTTGAAACGCTTTAGAATGCCTTAGAACGCTTTTGGAAAAATCGGTGCTGACCTTTTCATTTTTCTTCAAGAAGTTTGTTTTCCTTATTTTGCCGTGGTGCTGTCGGACAGAAACGGAGCGAAAAGTCAAAAGAACTTCAGATTATTCCTTCAAATGGTACAGAAGAATAGCAACAAACATACCAAAGCATCACATCAACAGTAGACCTTCAGATAAGGGGAATGCTTTGAGATAAAAGGGTCTACCTTTAGAAAGAAGCGCTTATCTGTGCGGGCAGGGTTGTAGGAAGCCAGATAGGCGGCAATCAGCAGGAACTTTGAGTAATAAGGCAGCTCAACGTGAGTGTGAGCTGATAAACCTTTGAAGGGAGAAAATACAGGCGATAAGCCGGCGCCATTTCATACTTTTACACACTGGATATTCCATTTACGGCTCTGGGATAAACGCGTAACTTCGGCATGTCGATTTTAGAGTGTTTTCATTGAGTGCAGCGGAGCTTTATGTGTGCTGGCACCTCTCATGGCTCCGGTCTCAGTCTCCTCCATTTGCTGCATCTGCTCCCACTGGAGACTGAACAGAGGGGGCAGAAAACGTTGAGGAAAAATAAAGTGCTCTTTGGAATAGATTTAAAAATTGGGCGGTTGAATGAATGAAGGAGAAAATAAAAGCCAATACCTGGACACCTCGCGCAAGTAAACTGTCTGCATGGCTTTTTTCAGGTGAGGCTCAATGTTTTTCCACAACTTGTGCGTTTCCGTTTCCTTCACTAAACACCACGAAACAATGACAGAGAAGAAGCGACTTAGCATGAAGCAAATCACTCTGTTCAGAGCTCTAATAACGAAGAGGAACATGGAAAGAAAAACAGCATTGAAACCAGTTATCAAGGACGCCAACAAGGAGCAAATAAAACACAGAATCTAGACTGTCGTGCAAATCTGGGCAGTGGTCTCAATGCGTGAAAACCTTCTGTAACAGCACATCTGTGCAGGACTCGTGACTGGTGGTAAAGAGAGAGATCCTGAAATGAGTTGAGAGTGCGAAGAGACTGAAAACGTGAGTGCAGGCAGGTGCTCCATCTGTCGTGGAAAATCACAAAGCGGACAAAATAACGCAGAGTTACGGTCGGTGGCCGCTTTACTGGATGCAGCTGTAGAGCCTAACACAGCTCAACGCAACCGGAGCCAGAAATCCAGCTGTGAAGTTGTCAAATGGGCACAGACACGTCGACAAATCCCTTTGCGGAAAATAAACAATGAACACGAGGGCGATAAAGAAGGTTTCTAACTTCACCGCACACAGCTTCACCCCACGCCTGCGAGTCAAACTAAAGTCGATCTTAATGAGCCTGATCTGATTGATATGTGTATACAAGGCTTTTTCTTTTTTATTATGGAGACTATAACATTGGGGATGGGGAAAAATGGCTTTGTGTTTGCTTATGAGTGAGCAGAGAAGTTCAACAGTATAAAGGGGACTCATTTACACAAAGAAGAAAAAAAATAAACACCTCTTTACCTTTTCCTGTTGTCACGGGCTCACAGAACTTTGAGAAGTTAAGAGCAGCCTGGTTGAAAAAGACAGTGAAATCTGTGAATCATAGAAAAAAACAAACAGAGAAATCGGCTGTGGCCTATGAGGCATCCTTTCTCTAACCAGGTGTCTCAGCTCTCTGAGGTCCCGACAGACTGAGTAAAAGACTCCCAGCAGGATGTTGATGTAGGACGAGTAGAACTCAGCTGAATAAGAAGGATGAGCGTCATGGGACAAAATCTGCTGGAGCTCACCTGCAAAACATATAAACCAAACTTACATATCAAAGAAAAATGATAAGTCCCCACCAGGTTGGAAATTTTTAGTGATGTTTTGTACAGAAATCTTTCTCTACGGTTACCGAATGTGGTGTCGGGACTAAATCACAGGTACAAATCACACATTTGGCAGCTAACCTGAAGGTGAGCCTCATCGTTATGCAGCGAGGGGGTGGGTATCACAATACCTTTGCTGTAGTCAGGAAAGTGGAGCAGGAGGGGCTCGAAACAGCCCGTGTTCGGTCTGAACTGGTCCCAGACGATTTCGCTGAGCAGGATGACGGTGACGTTGTCCTCCACCTGAAAGACAGACCGGTGACCAATCTGGTGCAGCTCGCTGGTGTAATTCACAAGTTTTCCCCACTTATCAGCAAAATTTTGTGCATTTTCAGAACAATCCCAACTTCCCTTTCTTAAGAATTAAAACTGGTGCTTCTTTTCCAAAGATAAGTTTTTATTGAAATGTATTTGGAATATCAAATTGCAGTGGTGAATTTCTATAAAGAAAAGCCAGTATTTTCCTTTAAACATCTGCTGAATAAATTGGTTTTGAGTATTTCAACTTTTAAAAAATGTCAAAATAGAACACTACAAATCTAATGAGAGCCTGGAAAGAAACTAATGCAATGAGTTAATAAGTGTTAGCTTTAATCAATGCTCTTTCTGACAACACAGTACTTAAAAGCACCGAGAAAGATGGCAGTCAGCACAACTGCACAATACAGGGATGCTTCTGTAAACATTTTTCATGCAACACCACTGTTCACCCTACACTGGCTCCCCAAAGCAAGTGCTAAGATAGACCGACGGACACAAAACCTGTTGTTGTTGTCAGGACAGAAGCATCTTAGCTGCAAGACAACATGTCAGATACCACTACAGAAGGAGTTCAGGTATTATCTAAGCAGGCTATTAACAAAAAACATCCTTTTGTTCATGTTAACTTCCCACCAGAAACAGCAGTGTGCATCTGAGCATTGGAAACATTCATTCTCAGGGCATTCCTCCCAAACACACGAATCTGCATTCACATTGTGGGTTGTAGGGGGCTGCACTGAAGTGGCTCGGCATTAAATAGACAGATTCTTATCACTCACCGTCCAACATTAAGTCGTTAGCTTTCAAGTAATAAAACGAAAACTACCTGGAGTCTTTTCACTCTTGATTGCTTTAATTAAAATTAAATGAGTGCCTGCCATACTTCCTCTCCAACACATTGTAAAACCACTCCTAACACTGAGCTCAAGGTCATCCATTACAAATGAGGCTATTCAAATCCATCTTCATCCTCCTCACCCTCACAGCAAAACAACAATACGTTGTGTCGCTTGATGGATAATACACAGGCAACGCACGGCACAACCTCACCAGTTCCTGAAGGCGAAGGAGAGCAGGGAGGAGATTGGCCTCGGCATCTCTCAGTAGTTCAGCCTTTTCCATTATCTGAAAATGCACATGCATGAGTTTTGATTGCTTTAGAACATCCATGCTGAGTAAAGCAGAGGCTATGAATAAGCATAAACATAAATTTGTCAACACAGTTAATTACAATTTACCATCTGTCCATCAAAAATGCAAAGGTGAAACAACCCGAGATGTCCTAGTTTAGGACATGCGTCTGTTCCAAGGGAAAAGTGAATTTCTGTTTGGTTTTTAGTGTTTAGCACTCACAATGTATCGCGTCTGCTTGGCAGGAGATTGGGAGGACTGTTGTCTGTAGACCCGTACAAAGTCAGACAGGGAGGGAGTGCGGGGGAGCGATGAGGCGGCATCGCAGCCAAAGAAGGACAGCAGCACTTGTTCAAACAGCAATGAAACAGAAACACATTCCACACAGCTGACGGTGGCGTGAGGCAACTGGACGGAGGAGAAGGAATAATAAACATCAAAGTCAGTCCTGTAGAGCCCATACACAGAATGCATATTGCTCTGCGCCTCATTGTCAATGGAAAAGGTTGGATGGCTACAATTTCATCACTTGAAAATAAATCTTTTGCCATTTCCGTTTTATATGAATAATTTTTTATTTAAAAGAAATTTCATGAAAGGAAACATTCCAATTGTATTTACAATACGCTGCTATATATTGAATTCAAACAATATTCAATATTTTCAAGGATCAGGTATTTTACTAGTGGACTGAACAAAGTCAGAGAAGCTCTGTAAAAATAAAATATGACTATATCTTAAAGGTAATTGGACCTTGAAAGAGTTAGTGAGTCAAACTCTTAAATGATCAAATTGGTCAAAAAGCTGATCGGCCATTTTTCCTTGGAATATTTTCTATTATAGTGCCTGTAGGGCAGCAGGGGAAAAAAAATCTAATTCTGCTGACGAATACTAGCCATCAAAACTAAAACGCAGACACAGGAACACCTTTTACGAACACCTTCAGTTACTGGACAACCGTGTCTCACCTCCAGTTCCTTCATTAAAACATTTAACACGTGACTCTTCCCTGAGGCTCCATGCCCGTAGATGAAGACTGAAGGATAGCAGTACTGCTGCGGCTGAAGAAACAAAAAGTTAGAGTTAAGACAAATGCAAAAGAGTTATCATCGTTCCAACAGCAGATATGTCATTACAAATTATGTATGGTGCCTTTTGTTGTCAACAGTTCATACGACTGGAAACTTTAAACAGAGAAAATGAGTTGTTAGATTATGTGCTTTTCAAAATAATAATAGAGACTTTTTTTAAAACTCAATTTGAATTGCTGTGCATTTTAAGGTCATGACACAACAAAAAAGGACATTCATCCTCCTGTCCTATCCGTTCCAGGTGCAGGCTTTAGCTAACATACCTGTCCCATGAGGGACAGCAGCATCCCGGCCTGGACCTCCCTGCAGGGCAGCTGCTGCGACGCTCTCTGTAGCTTCTCCTCATCGTATCCCAAGTGTTGTAGTGATCCCGTCATTCTGTTAGAAGCACCCTAAAATGATCAAATTCAAACGGAGGAATGTTTACACTGAGCAGAGTCGCAGTTCTCCTCTCAAACCGACACTAGCATAGCGTTCAGTAACTGCACGCTCAACGAGGCTGAGGCTAACACCGAAGTTCGGAAACAAGAGCAAGACAGTTATTCTTCCCAAAACTAGCGACTGTGAGCACAAAAATGGTCCGTGGAAAACCCTATGAGTAAAATCAAACCGAAAAACAATCTTGAAATATCGGTTAAATGCGGAAACGTGTACGTAAACAAGTACGTTTGATAGTTTCGCGCGCCCTCGCTTTGCGTCACAACCGGTCATCTCTGTCAACCAATCAATCAGGATAACAGGGATTCATGGGTAATGTAGTTTAGAAGCCAAAACACTCAAAGTGGTGAAAGGTTTCTTTTATGGCATCGAATTATTTCAATTTTGTATAAACTATAGTTATAAACTTCTTCCTTTTATGATACTCTATACTGCAGCCAAAGGCATTCACACTTTGTTGTCAAATGCCTCCTGGGACCTCCAAGAAGCAGCAGCTACTAAATCAAGTATAGGTTCAGTACAATTGATTACAGGGGATGTGGTGATTTTGAAACCACAATACATCAAACGTTTATTATGCAGCTCTTTGGCGATCTCCACGTCTGAATGAAGCTTGGATTGCAAAATTACATGTCAAATAACTATATAATTCCATTGCCAGCAAATGTTTTGAAAAAAGATTGTGTAACGTGGACATTTATGTAGATAATATCAGAAAACAGAAATAGTCAATTTGATATAGTTAGGAAATTATTTTAGATCAAACAAAGAAGTCCTGGAAAAAATAGTCTTTCTTGGTCACTCATTGAAAGAATTTGTCCATACGGAATATTTCCATGAAGCAGAATATCAGATGGATTTCCAGGGCAATTGTTTTGATTCTGTATTGTATTTCAAATCAATGAGCCTCGTTAGGATTTCGCGCGTTACCGGAATAATACGTCAGAATGGGATTAAGGGATGTGGGCTGGCCCTGTAGTATCCACGGCTCTCCTCCAACTCTGACTCAATAGGATCTCAGCTGCGGCTGCATCTCTGTCAGCCTCCGGGAAACACGGAGCTCCTCAGCGAGCTCTCACGCGGGCAACCCCCCCCTAGACGCGGATCGCTTTTGGCCGGAGCAACAGACCACCACCGAGACATTCTAGACCACAAACTATAACGGGGACGCACTTTTGACTGAACCCTCAGCGCGGAGACGTTGTGGACCCCCTCTTTTCCTCCCCATCCGGAGCGCACGTTTCCGCTGCCTGCAGACCGATGAATGAACATCCAAACCCGACTTTGACGCGGTTCCGCTGTGAGGGGAAACTGTGAGTGAGCGGGCAGATAAGCATCAGATCAGACGGCGTTATAGGAGAAGAAGTTCTGCTGAACCCCGGGGCGGCCAGATGCGGCAGATGTGGCTCCTGTGAGCGGGTCTGACCAGGAACGAGCAGACCTCGTATACCCGCGCACGGCACGGAGCGGAGGATGGTCCCCGGGGCCCCCGGCGCCACCACCTGCACCACCAGCACCACCTGCGCCGGCGGAAGCATGCTCCCCGCCTCCGAGGCAGCCAAGATCTACCAGACCAACTACGTGCGCAACTCCCGCGCCATCGGCGTCCTGTGGGCCATCTTCACCATCCTCTTCGCCATCGTCAACGTGGTGTGCTTCATCCAGCCCTACTGGATCGGGGACGGGGCGGACACGCCGCAGGCGGGCTACTTCGGTCTCTTCCACTACTGCATCGGCAACGGGCTGTCCCGGGACCTGACCTGCAAAGGCAGCTTCGCCGAGTTCGCCAGCATCCCGTCCGGCGCCTTCAAAGCCGCCTCCTTCTTCATCGGCATGTCCATGGTGCTGGTGCTCACCTGCATCGCCTGCTTCGCGCTCTTCTTCTTCTGCAGCACGGGCACCGTCTACAAGATCTGCGGCTGGATGCAGCTGGCTGCAGGTAGGGAGGCTGAGGATGGGGGAGATCGAGGTGTGTGTGTGTGTGTATCGAGGGGGGATTCGTGGATTGTAGCGCTCAAATGACTGTTGTGTGTTGTAATTGTGAAGCGTCCTCTCTCTAAGTCACATAGGTATTTCTCATTTCTTTTATGAAAACTGTCTAAAAAAGCTGAATATATTCCTGTGGAACTCAAACAGGAGTAAATCGCGTGGAGACATCAGTGTAAGGGGGGATGTGGATAGCTGGGGCTGTGCACAGAGCCACTATCATTCTGAAGTTGGCTTTGCTGAGGAGGCTGAAACTCCAACTCACTCCGGCAGAGCCTCATTTTGAGAAAGTGATTCATCTTAGTAGATTTGATGAAATGCTATTTCTGAGCATTTCGCTGGCTACTGAAGTCCATAAAAGACATTATGTAACTGTTTTGTGTAGGTGGAAGAAACCTTGAGAAAAGTGAAGCCTCAGACCCAAACTGTGTACTTAAATAATAAACATGTACTTAAATCTTTTCCTTTATGCCTTAACGCCTGACTGGCACTATAAATTCTATAATCAGAAGCTTCTTGAAGACATTGTAATTTGTTATTCAAATCATACAATATGTTTACCTTATTTAAACAAAACAATTTGAATAGCTTGGTTAAAAAAAAAAAAACTGACATTCTTTTGGTTTCCATCCTATTGATCCTACAAGTTAGCTCACATAATATCAGTAAAGTCTCCTACCAGTTGAAGCGGATGGTAGCAGGTAAGTACTCTGGGTTTTTATGTAGTTTGCATTATGCTTTTAATAAAATTGGAAGCGTATGCTTTTCTCCTGTATCTTTCAATGCAGCCTGCAACTCAGTAAAATAGAGAAAAACCCATAAGAGATCATTTGAAACAATCAAAGGAGACGTGCGGATCTAACTGAACTACTTTCCTCCACTTTTAATTATTTTTAGCTGATCATTTTCAGATCTTGAATTCATTCCAAGCAGCTCAGCTCCACATCTCACTCAACTAATTCAGTACAAATGAGAAAATGAGGGTAAATCCTTACCTCCTTACATCATTTATTTATTCAAATGTATCTAATAAAAGAACAACATATAGCGCTTAAATATTTCTACTCTAATACTCTTAATACAGAAACATCATATATTGGGGACACATGCACAACGCATGGCCATTTTGTTAGGTAGGTTGATCCAATTAGAATATAAGGAATGATGCAAATCCCTTCTCCAAACTTATGTAACTAACTTATGTGATTAATAATGTTAATCAGGCTAAAACAATGCTTAGTTTCATATCAATCAGATACTGTTGATAATAATGAAGTCTCTCAATTTCTAGCAGTATTATTGGAGATAATGTCGTTTTTTTCCCTCGTTTTTCTGTCGTGCTCAGAGGTTGGTTGATAGCAAAACAACGCAGACTAAATTGTTTGCACAAACGGTTCCGAACTAGCTGGTGAGGTGCTGTGAATCGATTTATGTAAATGTATCAAAGGGGGAAAAAAGGGAAAAAAATGTGAGCGCTTAATGCCCCATGGAAGAAGTCTTTCTTCAATCAGAGATGGCTTCTTATTAGTCCCATTTCATCACCTTGTTGGTGTGGCCCTCATCTTTCTCACTTTGTTGACACGTACTTATGCAAACCATGTGAGCTTTCCCACAGAAAAGCTGCGATCTGTGTTTTAATTAGTGGGATAACTCATTTAGTCGCAAGCTTCTCACTCCTTTTTTTGTCACTGCATAGTATTCACAACCAACCTATGGCACGCACCCTGAAACTAAGCTAGAGATACCTATAAATACGATTTGCTGGGGCACAACACGTTATTACAAGGCAAAGGCTTGTGAGTAAAAGGATGAATCCGGCACATATTGCATGCTTTTACAGTAGCGCAGGGCTGCCGGTAACACGGTTAAGTGTGCTAATGGCTTTGGGGTCTAAACGATTGATGACATTTGTCTTGTAGTGTGTACTTTAAAGGACGTGTATTATTTCTGATGGGAGATGTTTCAGCTGCTTGGGGGAAGTGTTACACACTTTTCTCTCAGACACTCAATCTATTATAATGACATTTCTCGTATCAATAACATAACCGTGTTAGTCTCCATCCCAGCTGGTCCAGTGTTTGAGAGCATTTCAACTAACTGTGACAGAAAGCTGTAAATTGTCCATTGTTTTTACTTTTCTAATTTGTATACGGATATTAGGATTTTTTGTTGTTGTTGCTATTAACATGGCAAACGTTTCTTTTTTTCTTTTTTCTTTGATGTTTCTGGAGTTCCTTTCTGCCACTTCAGTGACATTAGAGATGGTGAGTGTGGTCTTGAGCAGGGATGAGTGGTAGCTGACGGATGGCTGGTAGACTAAGTCCTCTTTTTTGTCTCTTCCCCCTTTACACTTGAACTGAAACCCCAGCTAGCAGGCTTTTTCTTTCATCGTCAAACTTTAATTTCTACGATTTTGTGCGGCTCCATACAGAGCTGAAAAAGATCCAACTTTTTCACTTAGGCAGACGAGCGCTCACAAACCTGCAAACACACTTTGATGTATAAAATCATCAGAGTTTCCCTTCAAAGTCCTTTGATGTTTTTGAACTCGTGAATGTGCAGTTGCTGGGATTGTCAGACGCAAACTTGTGCATTGGAATGAGCTCACAAAAGACCAACTGTGTAAATTATAAACAATGGTGCCAAGTAAAGGGAATGGTAAAAGCAAGATTCACCATAAAACGGAGACCTTCTAACCGCTATGTAAATGAAGAGGCTCTAATCCGCAGACGAGATATTCAATGTCATTCGTTTGTGTAGCACAAAGGCACACCCCCACAGATAAAGATTTTGAGCACAATCTCTGGCTCGCAATCATTTCTGGGCAGAAATGATCCCCTGGCATTATGCAGCGCACCTTCATAGATGCCTAATGCCAAACACAGGTTGCTCTCAAATGGGAATTAAATGTCATACTCAATTACAATCACATTAGCAGAGAGAATGCTCGTCTGCTTTTGTGTGCTGGGGTGCACTGTGAGCGCGTAATGGTGGCCAGTAAGTCTGCCGCCCGGTAGGCTGCACAGTACAAACCCAGCCGCTGCGACTGACTGTGGAATTGTCCGGGCTGCGGCCCGCCTCTGGCCCACTCTGATGGACGTCTAACCCCTCTGACCCTGAACAGGATAACACTTGCACAGAAAATGGATGGATTAGTGGACAGGGGCTCAGCTGCTCCTCTGATCAGCGGTTTGCCCCCTATAGTCAAATTTCCTGTTAAAAAATCATTTAAAAAAAAGAATATCACAATAGTATCTGGGGCGTTTAAAGCTGACACGGAGTGATGGATGCTCCTCAGAAAAGAGCTGAGCTCCATCACCATGCGGTCCAAATGAGTGGCAGTTTGTATTGTTGCAGTATTTTAGTCACAGATTTCAAAGCTGCTTCTTATTCTTCTCAAGTCCCATGTTGGCTGTCCTCAGTCTTCTCACCACAGGGGGGGGGGTGGATTCTCAAGATTATAAAGAAAAGAAACAAGTGGAGGGCTGGTGGTTATCTTCACACTAATCGTGCAGTTTATGGACAATGCGGAAGGGAACGTTGCAATTTTCGGAAACATAAGTCGAACTGATTTGGTTACGCTCCATCTGTGAGGCAGAGCTAAAATCACAAGGCTTTCGACAAAGTAACACAATCTTCAGCTGCAGAGAAAAAAGTGCAGCGAATCTTCAGCGTTTCCGACTTGTGAAGTGACTGTGCACAAAAAGTCAGGCTCTGGCCTGAAGTGTCAGATGCCACCAAGTGAAATCAGATTTCAACTGAACTTCTTTTTTTTTTATTCTTCCTCTTCTGAACCTACGATGCAAGCCTGAACCTCTGGCAAGAAACTGCTGACCCGAATAGAAGCAAGTTCATAAAAATGAAGAACTGATTAATGGCATTGAGTGGTGTGATGAACCCTTGCAGCCAAATATGACTTCAATCTGCAGCCTCGCTTGGACCTTCAGGACTTTCTGTGTCATTCGAGCCCTCTTTTTCCCCCTAAAACTGTCTGACTCATAACTTTCTTGTTTTATTTCAGTTTTGCTGCTCCCTGAATCATTTTTCGAACACAGCAGGCGACGATCGGCCAAGTAAAAGCTAAAAAAAAACCTCAGTGTACACAGTTGTGTCTTAATAAAACATCTCTGCACCTCTGACCGCCTTTCATCTGGACTGTGATCTGCTAAAAGAAGCTTCAAAACATTTCAAGATAGCCAAAGAAGATTGTATTGAGGAGCTTTCTGAGGAGGTCCCTTGGAGGCAGCTCCAGAGACGGAAGATGTCCCAATTGTTTGAAAAAGTTCCTCTGGCTTCTCGTGGATGTGAGATTTCACGAGTGCATAAGGAAAATCTCCGTTATGGTGTCCCTCGTTTTTCTGTCTGCTCTTTTTTTATCCGCAAGTAGCCGGTGGTAGCAGTGTGCGGTTCATTAGACATGAAGTATGATATCCTGCTCAAACAGAGACAGCCTTCTACATCTCTTTCTTCTGTCTTGGGTTACAATGTAATCACTTTGAACTGTCTGCTACAGGATAAAAAAGGGAAAACTCTAAAGAAATATAGACTTTCTTTGTATCTGCAGACACTGCAACGGGAGGTAAATACTGAATGATTGAACAATCGGACGCCTTTATACGTGACATTTTTCAGGTTTCCAAGATGTGATGAATCATCTGGCACCCTTGTAGTTTTACTGAAGATGGATTAAGCTGCATAACAATACATTTTACAGGCATCTAGAAAACAATGGAATAACCTTGAAGACACACCGTCTTCGGCTTTTGTCCATTTAATTCTGTTTCACCTCCAAAAAAATCTCATAAAAACTAACCCATATAACTCATAACATTTCAATATACTTGAACGTAACCGATAAGTCAACTGTTTCTACTGGTAAATTTGAAAAAATACGAAAGTAGCTGATCTAGATTCATCATCATCATCATCAGTTTGGAGCCTCATTAAAACCCATAACCCAATTTGCTTAAGCAGGATGGCCCATCCACACACATTTCCTGTAAACTCACAGCTTGTCAGAAAGGGAACATTAACATAACCATTATGATGTAGATGGATGACAAATTACAGCCAAACCTTGTGGAAATTTGTTGTAAATCGCACTCGGAGACAGCGAGATTACAGATTCAGTCTTTTCAGCTTCCCCTAATCCTCAAACCTTCTTAACATATGGTTACAT